AAATATTCGATGGAACTCGTCATGTCGAGGACGAGTTCCTTCGAAATAAAAAAAAACTAGATGTTGGCTAGTCATTATTCAACGGACAGACGAGCAACAACGGACAATTAGAACTCGTTACCTTGAGGTGACGAGTTCGGCAGAGGATAATTTAAAAAAAATTAAAATTAAAAGAAAAATCAATTTATTTAAATTTTACGAAATATAAAGTAAATTAATTGTAAAAAAATAAATTTTTACGTGAAAATTATAATAAAAAAATTATCTATGTCTTTTAAGTTCTTGACGATGCCTCGGAGTGGTCAAATGCAAATGTCGTGGGGGTCATCGAGTACGTCGTTGTCGTCTTGCTGAGGAGGTGTACCCAACACACTCTACGATCCACATTCAAAATACGGTGATGGATTTAAGATATTTGACGCCATCAACGCCGTAACTGCTTCGACTTAGCTGCTACTTTGTTAACCATATATGATATGGTCCCAGTCACCAACAGCCGCATGTTTTATCGAAGATGCTTGACTGTACTGAGGTGCATCTCATGAACCTCCAACCCAATTCGGTCGAGTCTCGGCTGAAGTATGAAATGGAGGATAGAAACCGAAACTCGCTTGGGATGCATAATAATACTCTTCACCGGTAGATGTTGAAGCAAAAGCAGAAAATGATGATGTTTTCTTCTTGGACTTCAACTTGAACTTGGCGCATGTGACCTGATGTTGTTGCAATTTTGCCATCTCTTTCGGTGTCGTGAGATATGGTTTACCACTTTCTTCGTAAAGCTGAAGTTAGGGAAAATGGTCGAAATCTAAGTCCAGCAGTGTAATGTCCTAACGATGGGGGAGCAATAGTTCACGTTGATTCCATAGGTCGATGTAGTAAGTGCACTGGACAATTTTCATTATGTTTCCCACATGTATCGATTGTATGGAGCACGTCCATATTGACCTAGGAATTGGTTGGCACATCACTCTATCAATCGTGTGCCACTCAATAATCGCTTGGTGCAATAACGACATCATGGTACACCATAAGTGAGACCCCTAAAAAAATCATCCCGGTAATACATGATTGATCTACTCATCGACATACTGAAGCCAAGAGAACTGTAAATATTAAATATCAAAGTTAGTATATATAGAGTTAAAAATATTCAAAAATAATAATAATAATTTTGTATGTCATACCGTGAATCGACCAGCGATGTCGATCTTCATCTATATGTCTTGTACAGTGGCACCTCTCAACTTCGTCTCCTTTATTTTATTATGTCATCTAAAATATTTAAAAATAGACAAATTATTATAAAAAAAATAAAAAGTAAATAAATTTATGAAATTAAAAAAATAATTAAATAAATGAAGTTAAACAATTACCTTTCAGCCAGCAGAAACTCGACCAAGGCATCTGTAATTGGCATAAAAAACAGGAAGTGATACGAAGCCCAGGACTGTAGCAGTATCACACAACCTGCTACATCACCTTTTCGATCCGACGTTACAATTGCAGCCTTGCAAAGCTCCCGGTACAGAAAGGTTAGAATCACCGAGCCCCAACTGGTGTTACTGCACACAATGAATTCTTCCAAAATTTGCAGATATTGAGTGTGCACCAGATTATCATATTTATCCAATAATGATATCTCTCTGATCACTTGGAGAAGAAATGCTCGAGACGCGAAAAAAACCTTTGCCTCGGTAGACTCGACAGTCACTTCGAATTCAGACTACAACCACGTTATCATTACCCGATAGCCCCTCATGACGTCGGATGGTGGCCATTTTCCCAGAACTTGGTGGACCAACGTCAAGGGGTCGTACATGTTCTGCCTCACCACGGGGGCTCCATTCACTGGAACACCGAGTTGGTAAGCAACGTCTTCCAAAGTAATTGTCGCTTCACCACTCAAGAAATGGAACGTGTGTGTCTCGGAGCGCCAACGTTCGATCAGGGCCTCGATCAACGATAGGTACAACTTGAAGCCACATAAAAATATAGTCAGAAATAGATCGGATTGATGTAGACACATCATTATTCGATGATGCGGTTCTCTGGTTGTCATCCCTCGACTTCGAATGGAGTATTCGTCGTTCAGCCCACGTTGGATCAATGAAGCATGGGCGTTATCCAACTGCAACATATATTCTCGGGTTACCATTTTTCAAAATTTTCTCACAATGTATGTTTTTTTATTTAGGGTTTAGTGAAAAACCAAAACCCCAAACTCCTATTTATAACCTTATCCCCAACAACTATAAACGGCTAATATTTTTTTAATTTGAAGGAACTCATCACCTCAACGTGACGAGTTCCATCAAATATTTTTTTTATTTTCTAGATTTTATTTTTTTTAAAATTAAAAAAAAAATTAATGGACTCGTCACCTCGACGTTACGAATCATTATAACGTCATTAAAATAATGGCCTACATGGGACCCACCACACATGGATCATTAAAAATAGGTAACGAGTTCCGTTTGGACTGTAACAAATACTGTATTTTGCTAAATAAAGTTTGGGAAAACTCAATACCCTAAATATTTTACCAGCTTAGAGTATTGGGCCAAAAAAACCCTATAAACATGAGTGGAAAAAGGCCCAATAGCAACTTTTGCAATCAAACTTATCAAAAAAATTCATTTCAACTAACATACACTTAGGTGGTGTTTGTTTTTGCAGAGCTAAAATGTCTGTAGTCTGCGAACCACATATGCAGGCATCTACAACAGAAGAGGTGGACCAAAAGCCTACAGTCTGCAAGAAGAAGATTGTTTGTTTTTTAACGTCTGCAGACTGCTAAAATAAACTGAAATATAAATAAACTGATTTTTTAAACTTAAAAGAGTTTTGCAATACTGAGATTTAAATAATTTTAGTTTTAAAATACTGAAATTTAAATAATTCATACAACTACAATAATATATTTTTAGAAAAACAAACACCACCTTATTAATTCTATTATAAGTCTCGCATAGTCACATGTATTATTAGTTTTATAAGTTTTATAGAATAAAATTTATAAATGATCATTAAATTGTATGATTTTTTAAATATGCAATTATGTAATACTTTTAATTTTTTTAAATATATATTAATATTTTATTTTTATAATTATATGATATTTTTAGAAAATATTTTTTAATTTATCAAATTATTTTATGATTATTTTTTATTTAATTGTGATTATATTTTAAAATTTTAAAAACATAATTTATAATTTTTTATATTTTAAAATCTTAATTATCAAAAAATGAAATTATTTTTTATTAAGCAATGTGGTTTAAATACTTACATTTTGTATAAAAAGTTTAAATATAATTTAAAAATAACAAATCCAAAAAATATTATATTTAAACTTAAATCAAAATAATTAAAATAAATATAAAATTTTAATAATATATAAAATAATTTATATGATATAAAATTAAATATCTATAATATAATATTAAAAAATTAATATTTAATTTATTTAAAAATTAATATTAAAATTAATATAAATAATATAATATTAAAAATTAATATTTAATTTATTTAAAAAATTAATATTAAAATTAAAATCAAATATAATATAAAATTAAATATAAAACCTCCTTGAAGAGGTTAGAAGAAGTCTGCAGACATAAGGCCACGTCTACGTCGCGCAGACCACGCGCAGACGTTAAAAGAGCTTATGTCTTATAAAAAACAAATGGTCTGTGAAGCACAATGTTTGCGCGTGGTCTGTGCGGCGCAGAAATATTTTTTAATTTATCAAATTATTTTATGATTATTTTTTATTTAATTGTGATTATATTTTAAAATTTTAAAAACATAATTTATAATTTTTTATATTTTAAAATCTTAATTATCAAAAAATGAAATTATTTTTTATTAAGCAATGTGGTTTAAATACTTACATTTTGTATAAAAAGTTTAAATATAATTTAAAAATAACAAATCCAAAAAATATTATATTTAAACTTAAATCAAAATAATTAAAATAAATATAAAATTTTAATAATATATAAAATAATTTATATGATATAAAATTAAATATCTATAATATAATATTAAAAAATTAATATTTAATTTATTTAAAAATTAATATTAAAATTAATATAAATAATATAATATTAAAAATTAATATTTAATTTATTTAAAAAATTAATATTAAAATTAAAATCAAATATAATATATAATTAAATATAAAACCTCCTTGAAAAGGTTAGAATAAGTCTGCAGACATAAGGCCACGTCTACGTCGCGCAGACGTTAAAAGAGCTTATGTCTTATAAAAAACAAATGGTCTGTGAAGCACAATGTTTGCGCGTGGTCTGTGCGGCACAGAAATAAGAGCTTTACAGACCTTACACAGTAAAAACAAACATCACTTTAGAAAAATATGTAACAACAGGATTAATCACTACTACAAAGAACGGATACTTTTTTCTTATTTCGGCCCACTTCTATGAAATTTATTTTGGGCCTCTGGCCTTTTTCGTAAGAATTCATTTCATGAATTTGCTTTTTAAAATTTTGTTTTATATAATTTGTGTGAAAAATCTATAAAAATATATATTCAACATATATTTACAGGAATTCATACGAGTTAACATAATGCTTGAATTGGTTGTGCCCTTAAAACTGGTCTTTTCCACTATGTTTGGTTACAATTTTACGGCAACCCTCAATGCCATTGCCAATAAGCAAAAACTGATATTAAGAACCAGGAAAACGCACGGAGCAATGGACTACAGATGTTCCAGTACTTCTTGCATCACCCAAGGCAGCCGGTAGCGTCTTCATCCCGGTGTCGGATCATACTTCACAAGTACTACCGGACATCAAAGGTTCGGCAAACTGGTCTAAGTAGTATGATGATCAAAGTGGATACAGCTCTGCCACTAAGAAATATGTGTAGCAGAGCTTGTGTCTTCGATGTATTTGTGTTTATGCCCCGGAATTCATAATTTTCTCTCATATATGTATGTGACAAAAACATGATTGAAAGCAAGATACAGGGACAATGAGAGCAGAGCATTTATGAAGCTCATTCAGGGTGTACAACAATAAAAGAATAGATAACAAATTTTTTCCAGACAAAAATTTGTGCCATAATCCTAAAATTAGCCAACTAGTCCTCCTATTCCGAGACGGGGAAGAAAAGAAGCAAATTTGTTTTTGCCGAAAGAAAAGAAGATGGTTGACGATGAAGAAAGAGAACGAGATTTCTTCTCTTATCTTCTTTTTGGTTCAAAAAGCATTTAAAAGAAAGTGCCATCTCTGTTACCAGCAGTAGCCCTACGGTGACGTCTCGAACCAGATCTCTTATCCCTGCCACGTCTTGGAGTCCTCTTCCCTTGATTTCTTCCACGGACATTTGTATTTGGCAAAGCCGGTGGGCGTCGAATCACAACTGGTGGGGGCATGTGCTCCAATAGATCTCTATGATATGCCTGTGAAAAAGAAGAAAAGCAGTCGAAATTGATTACATGTGCCTATCGTACCTAAAAGCTCCTGCTACTGGTTGTATCCAATAAAAGCCGAAGAAATCCCTTACTCAAGCATATCAAGCACTGATGTAAGTGACTTTTTACATTGTAACATATTATATATTCAAAAAATAATATATATTCAAGCTCGAAATTAGTAATCTCGTGAAGTTAATAGCAAATACAGAATATGTACCTGTATGACAAAATTGCGTCGTTCACAATCCAAAAACATATTGATATGCCAATCAACTTTCGCCATTATCTTATCCCTCACCATACCAAAGCTTAATTGGTCCCGAGATGTAAAACGATCAACTTCATTGAACCACAGGCATGTAAAAAGATTCGTGATTGGAATATGTTCCTTTATGAGTACACAACCTTCAGGAACATCTGCAGAAAACCAGTTTAACACCAAAAAGAAAGATTTTTAGTATAGAAATGGTTGAAAAACCGTATAAGGCATGTATATATTTGTATTTGTACATAATATTGTACATACCACTGGTTATAGGAAGCTTGGCCTCAGAATATGGTGTTAATCCCTCTTTTTTATAAAAATCCACCTGCGCATCAATCGATGAATTATCATATTTTCCTGCAGCTTTATTTGCTTCAGCCTCTACAAAGACATCAAATCGCCTGTAGTGTCTCGAGATTGCAAAATTAGCATTATGGCGCCACAAGAATCTGAGAAGAAGAATGGCGAAATAAGATAATGGTCAAATTAAATTCAACTGAATCATCAAATCTGAAGTCAAAGACTCAAATCTATGTTACTCAGACTTAGATGCAAGTGTCAAACACATGCATCCAACATGCATATATTCAATTTTACTCCAAGATTTATGTAATTCAAGAATCTTAGCACATTGCCAGAATCTCATTTTGCCAACATCGGACATTAAACCAAAGCAAAAATTATATTTAAGTAGCCATGTAGCAATAATGTGGTTGATATTCTTGATCGACAAAGAGTTTGTTTTCATTATAATTTGGTGATGCAGTCCATCTGACACAATAGAAATCATATGACCAAGAAGTTTAATAAGCATTTTAAAAATCATGAGACAGAGAGCACCTCTCAAGAACTTGATAAGGATCCACAACAAGCTGGAGCTTTCCGTCGATCCATAAAGAGTAGCGAACATTTGGGAAGATTCTATGTAACAAAAGCTTTGGGACCTGCCATAAAAACATGCCACATAAAAAGAACTTCCTTAAGTCACATTTGGTACATAAGTAATAACATAATGAAAAAGCTTAATAATTACATGAGTTATTACATAAGTTTTAAAACAATATGTCTAATATAAAGAAGAATTAGAATGAATTTACACTTTCAGTTAGAAAGATGAGTTAAACTCAAGGAAAAACTAATACCTATTCAAACAAGCAATATATATTCCTTATCTTTGTTCAAATTAAGCCTTGTGAATGGCTAAAAATTACCTAGTGAACATAGCCTATTGCTAACTCATGTACTAAAACATAAGGAAAAAGTTAACACTCCTACCAAACGTAGCATAAGTGCGATAACCTAAAGAAATTTCTGATAAGGATCAATGCATCAGATCTCCTTGATCTTTCACCAAATATTGATCTAGTCGTCACACTTATTTTGTAAACTGAAGTATATATTTATAGGTCCATTTCAAAGAGAAAAAACATAGACAACAATGATAATCAATGACCAAATTCCCCTTTATGACCTCTTATCTTTTCTCACCCTCGACAATGCTTTAAAAGAAAACACTGGTAGATCAGAACCAGACAACGAACCCAACTACCCTACGACAAGCTCATAATTGTTGCTAAAATAGATGAGACTACGCATCAAATTTTGTTTACTAGTACTAATCATAAATTCTATGACACAGGGAAGGACCATATACACCAGGATCTGATAAATGTTTAAAGGTGAATCAGATTACAAAAAGTCCAAATAATGACAACAAAATGAAGCGCAAATCAATCAATATCGAAGTATGCTAACCTTGCCATTACGTCTCGCATCCATGTAAGGAACATTGTGAATCACAACAATTCTCCACAAGCCCACCTTTTTACTGTCATCCAACACACTTTTGTTCTTCATATATGCTTCTGTTTCTTTATCAATAAACATGTAGAAAGGAACATTTTTCTTTGCTTCTTCACTGATGTTCATGGGCTGTTGTATCACGTCATAGTTCCCTGGAGAGCAACAAATAAAGCAATGATGAGGATAAAGCATGCATAAATGCAATAAAATATTGTGGAACCCAGAATGTCTAGTAGTACCAAATATAGCCGACGCAACGATGATCTCGTGGAACTGCTGCAACTCTTCCAGATCAGACTCGTCAAAGTCAAATCCAGTCTGGTGTCCAGGTTTACTTCCCTTGACAAATCTGACAGAGAAAGTACATGGAATTACAATATTAAAAAGTAAAAGGAAAACAATATCTATTTGTGAAGACAGATAGTTCATTCAATCATTTAAATGCATCGTGAATAACAAAAGAATCACATAAATCTCTACCTGAAATGTTGTCAATGAGTATATTGAGAGGAGAGTGAAACCTACCCACAGTGGACTGTCATCGACTCTTTTATGTCAAATAAATCTTCTCTTTGCTTTAGAGACGGATATCCACCAAAGTCAGAGCCCCCATGTGGTTCAGTTTTAATTGGATTTTCATCATGAACATATGTCAAATTATGAAGCACTGGAGATTCTGATGGGGAGCTTGGCATGCTAGCTATGGCCTGATCCACGGGGAGGTAACATACTGGACATGCTGAAACAAGGATGAGCAAGAATAAAATTAGTGGCAAGATAATGAAACATAATCCAAATATGCACATATTGAAGTAAGCACGAATCAACATTTTTGGTGCAGAAGTGATTATGATTTACCTTAAAAAAAAGAACATAATAAATAATCCAATGGCTTCAAGTTGATATATTATGTTATTATTAAACAAATGAGGTAGCTTCTAATTAAAACTATCGCTTTATGCATCCATGTGAAAAATATTTATACAATTACATTTAATGCAACTCTGATTATGAGAAAAAAAGAATAATGAACCTAAACTTACGCCGAGGCCCAATCCGTCTAAGATAAGGTGGAGGGGGAGGAGGAAATGTGAAATTCATGCATGGATGGTTTGCACCTTTAGAATCAGAAACTTGAAATTTATTTCCATCGCCCCCATTCACACTATTTGCTGCAGAATACTTTTTATCTTTATGCTGATCCTTCCTTCCAAGTATCCGTGAAGCTTCACTATGGGCACCGTTCAGGTAATGAGTCATGCTCATAGTTCCAATCCGTTGATCCACAGTTGGACTACGACTTTCTGTCTCTTTGATCGTACAGAATGCAAACCAGAAAAAGATGAATAAGTTATTGTCTCGATTAAATTACTGTGCTAAGAATGAAAAGTCTGCAAGCCACTATGTACATCAGTAAGTGAGCATATAAAAGACCAAGTACAGAAAAACCATGTCAGCCAATGCTTAGTGCTCTAGAAATCAAAATTCAAGAATCCAGAGTAACAGAAAAAGGAACAGACCTTTGTTGACAAGAAAAGAACCCAAGACGAAGACCAAAAGGGAAAGGGCAACCAGAAACAGCATGGAAACTTTCCGGCGACCCAAACACCGATACCAAACGGAGGGGAGAGACCTCTCCTTTTCTCTAGAACCTGAAAGCATTATGATTGGATTCTTTCGTGCACTAACAACTGGTTTAGAGTGCAACAATCTTCCACCGCCAGCAATAACGTTTTTGATGCTCTGCAATGACCCATAACTCCCTGTACGTAGACCCAATGACCCTCCAGTCATTGTATCTCAAACCCAACCCCGAGTTCCTCTCTCATTTCCTTTCACCCTATCATTCACTCACAACAACCCCACAAAATTTCTAACAAAAAAACATACAATGAATAATTATACTATTCAGCTGGAAGCTAAAAGCAAATCCAATCACTCAACTCTCACTTTAGATAAAAAATACAGCAAACATTGTCCGGTTAAACAAACCTCTATCATACATATCAATAGATAAACCAGTAACACATTTCTTTGAAGCATTTAACTTTCGAACTTGTTCCCGAAAGCCAATGTGATTGATTTCTGTTAACATAAACAGACCAAAGAAGCAGGAAGTCAGGAATTCCTTTCCTCAAGCCACCTTAGACGGAAATCATAACTTTTTTTTTGGCAAATGTACTTTGGAAATTCAGGACAAACGAAAACTAATCTACATCTTTTTTCAATGAACACGAATTAGATTATCTTGGGGCTAAGACCTAGCATCCTTCCACTATTTTTCTCTCCATGACTATCCAGTACAACTTTAGTCACCGTTCATAAGGATGACATCACAATATATACTTATTAATGGTGTTAATAAATACATTGATAAACAATGGATAAAAAAGAAATACAGTGAGCTGATTAATTATGGATAAAAAAGCAATAGAGCGAGATGAATCCTCTAATATCAAGCCTTTGGTCATGAAAATACAGAAAGCTAATGACAAATCGTAATAGAACTGTTCCTTAAACCAATGTGATTGTAGTGGGATTGAATTCTATTAATCCAACGAACACATGGAACATCAAAAATATAAATTTGGGATTAGAAATTAAAACCCGGTTTAGAATTTCGCTCACTTTTTCTCAGAACTGATATGGTTCAAAATATTAACAAATTGCAACAAAACTGGGTCTTTATCCACGGAAACAGAGAGAAACGGATAAGACCCAAACCCAAAAAATTGCAACAAAAACAAAAATGTTAATCACAGTTTAAAAGAAATCATTTTATTTCCAGGAGTTCAAATCCAAACTGAAATCAGGGAAATTTTGCTAAAAATGTGAGAGGGATCACTTACCTTTAAGAAAATGAAGGTCCCATTTTAGATCTTTTGTTCCTTTTTGAGTCTTTAATTTTTTGTTGAATGCTTTGAGTTTTCGTTCTCTGATGATGATTGTTTTGATACGAAAACCAAATAAAATTACATTTTTTATTTGTACAATAAATAAAGTTTCAAGCAAATAAACATGATAAATTTAGTTTTCTTAACTTAATTTATTAAATAAAGAAAAAATGTCTTAAATTATAAGAAAATATATTATCGTACATTTATACTAAAAAAATCGAAGTATATTACATAAAGGGTAAAGTTCACAAAATGGTCCCGATTATATGATACTAATTTATTAAGTTTGTTGACTATTAAAAGTTACAAAGTGTTCTTCTGATTATTTATTATGTTCCAAACATATCATTTTTCGTTAAAAATTGACGGTACTCTAAGTTAAACGTTAACATGTTGATTGTGATATGATAAAATCTGATCTCAGAATCTTAAATGATTATTATATCACAGTCATCATATTAACGTCCAACTTAAACAACCGTCAATTTTTAACAAAAAAATTATGAGTTTGAAACAAAATGAATAGCATAGTAATCATTTTGTAACTTTAATAGTCGAATGACTTGACAAAATAATATTATATAATTAGATGATCATTTTATAACTTTTAATAGTTGATGAACTTAATGAGATACCATTTGTGTACTTTACCTTATATAAAAGAAATTAAAATTCATTCAAACAACTTAGATAAATTATATATACGTGTGTGCACGAATCGAGAACCTAAGTAGCTACGAGATTTATTGTTATCCCTTGAAATTTTAAATTTGAGCATCATGCATATAGGAGTATAAACATTCATTATGACATGATTGAAAATTTTCAAATCGAAATAACTTTATATTCATCATAAATTTATAAAAATAAAAATAAATTATATATCTAAATAAATAATATTGTAGACGATAAACATTATAACATTAATATAAAATTATATATAACAATAATGACTCGTTAATAAAGTGACATTAGAACAATTTAAAAATAAATTATCTTTAATAATTATAAATGTCTATCAACATATATTCCGAGCGTATAAATTATTTATCATTAGACACAAATTTATCAGCCTCATTGATCGAGCATCCCTCACCAACAAACCTATTTACATTGATCCCGATCGAGAATCGCTTTCGAAGACGACGTTTCTATGAGTTGATGAAGCCTTTGAGCTCCTGGACCTGGCTTGATCTTGTTCATGTCTCCGACTTCCGAACATTTCGGTTCGCCGCTGCACCAACCACCCGGTGTGAAGCTCCCCTTTTCCCGGCCGAGCAAATCTTTGTCGATCTTATCCAACACTGCATCGTCTTGTTTGAATTTCCGAGCAAAAGCGGCATTACTTCGAATCATCATGTCCCAGTCATTAAGAGTAAGGATGTGCGGGTGCTGTTTAGGGGGGGATTGTCCCATGAAATATAATGCAAATCATGGTTGACAACGGTCTTGGCAAACTCCGGAGCATTGCATACGACAGACTGAAAGTAACCTTCAGGCGAGGAGACGAAGTCGTGTGGTACATGAGAAGAGTTCTCGGCAGATTATCCCAACCCCAAACACAAAATTTGACGAACGAATGCGACATAACCGTCCATGCAGAACCTGCAACCAGAGACGATGTACAGAACCAGTTAACCGAAAGCACGGTTTCAATATATACTATCAATATGTATGAATATAATTTGCAGTTCCAGCATACGAAGAACAAAACCAGGGCACTCCTTTAAGAGCAAAGATCCATCCAGCTGCATCAATAAACCGATGCATACGACATATAGATTCGGATAAGTCACATTTCAATGCTCATATTCTTAAGAGAGAATAGGAAACATCTTAAAGTTTCCGGCATACAACGGTGTACTAACCGGTAAATAATTTGAATGCTGTAGGTAATTTTCGCTTCTGTGAAATCCAAAATATATCAGACTTGGTCCATAATCAAAGGCTTAGCTCGTTTATCCCTGCACAAGAACCACCAAATATGTTGGCATTCGACATATGTAACTGTGTTAGATTCAGACAGAAAGAATGAGAAAACCTACGCTTTCCAACCAAGCTGGCTTGTGTGTTCAATAAAATTAAGGTTCCGGTCTCAATCTGAGAATGCATGAATAAGATCTGCAGATAACAAACAAATATATCAAAGACCGTTTGGTGCATAACTGAATAAAGGAACACCGGAAACGATATCAACCGGCTCGGTTCTCAGATAAGGCATGTGATGGAGACTTACCATCTTGAGTCACAAGGGGATAATCCGATGCACTGAGATTGATAAACCAATCCCAATCTTTACTTCTGTTGAGATGAATGGCACCAGCATGGAGCGTATTGGCGACCATGGTCAGCCCTCGATACGTAACCATATTAGCCTTGGTAATCATATAAACATTCCCTACCTTCGAAAACATCGTATGGTTATTTATTCTGGCAGCAAGCGTTGATCTCTCCTCGGTCGGCGCCTCGACGTCCAAATAAACAACATACTGATTCCTGGGATGATACAGAATATGAAGTGTTCTCCAAAGCTTTTCCAGATCACCTTTCGATCCAGAAACCAAGTATACAAAACAAGGTAATACCGGAGCAGGAGATGGCGTCGAAGGACCTATGTTGATCTTCGACTCAGCATAGCCCGGCTTCCTTTGATTCATCAAAATATAAACCGGGAAAATCGAGAAGAATGAGTTGATTTTGCGAACCGAGGGAACGAGACCCATGTCGAAACAAGTAACAACAAGGATCGTGCATATGAGAGAACTTATCACAAGGGGGAGCACCCATTTCTTCTCCATGTTCAACATTGACACCATTTTCGAACCTCAAGGATCTAACAGACAACCTCAACTCCAAGGCCTTTGATCATCACCGATTCGGATATAATTCGAAACCGCAAATACCATCAATCTTCAGATCAAAGGCCTTTCCTGCAACATATAATTCCAAGATATACCTTTGCAAATAGATGTTAAATGAACAACCGTTGATATTGGTTTATTCTATCTAGAAAAACTATTTTATTCTATGTTAACCTGTTATGCTAATTCCCAGAACATTAAGGAGTGGAAACTAGATCAGGTCGACGAATCAAACATAAACAAATTAGCAATGAAAAAGAAAGAGTATTTAAAGTATGAAAGATACAAAAAAATGGACAACATACTAAGACAAGGAACCAGACACATAAATAAACAATTAGTTAAAACACCATTAAAAATACCGAACAATTAGTTAAATACTTTGGGATTAAGCTACTGTTCTAGAAAAAGCTGTCAAGGAATCTTTTTTTTTTTTATATTTCCAACTCTAAATCAAAATGTTGTTAATCACCAAACCTGTAAATCTAAATCAGGTTAAAGATCCATAGCTACCGTTAGAACATAGGCAAAACCCAGAAACGGAAAATCGGCAAAGATCACGTCTTTGCACGAAAGGAACAAAACCCAAATCTGGAAATCAAATCCAAAAGCAGCCGCTGGATAACAAATGAAGCTGAAGATGAAATGAACCTAAGGATCTGTTTATTTGGCTGTTGACTGTTCAATAAAATAGTGGTGAATGATTTAGTATTAAAGTACATTCTGAATGATTTAAACATTCAGAGTTAATTCATATAGAGTCTCTGAATCATTCAACGTTTAATCATTTTAAGATAAATAAACAGCTCATAACTTAAGAAACAAATCTAACTTTTGATGCTGGTAAGATAACAAATGAAAAAAAATGGTTCTCTTATTTTCATATGTAATGGGTAAGGGAGGTAAAATAGTAGGTTGTCTCCAACACTAGGTTGAAAGCAGTTTCTATAGGAGACTTCCAAATTATGAAATGTCTTTCATGAGATTCAATCTCACAACCTCAAAATTAATAACTTTGTACTCTACCAACTGAAATGTCCCCACTGATTTATTTATTGTCACCACAGCTTAAAATTCTCTACATTATTAATTAAAGTAATAAGCAGTTTGTATTGTTTAAGTAAGATTTTATGATCAAATCATTATATATGTAAAAAAAAATTCATTGAAAGATTTATCTATCAAAATTAGATGTGTAATATGGATCGATCCAAATTAGTTAGGGAGAAATTTTGGAACTAGAGGACAACAAAAAAAAAAATCAGATTTGAAATTAAATTATTATCATACTTTTAGTTTTGTTAAAATTTACAAAGTAACGTATTAAATAAATTTTCCTTATTTTTTAGAACCAAAAATATTTTCCAATTAGGAAATTGAAATATGTTTGATGGTCATGGTATTTGATGTTAATAAATATATATTTTTTGAAATATTAATAAATATTATTTAATATTGAAATTTAAAAAAATATTAATGAATTTGTCGATAGTCTTGATGTTTAAACAACAAAAATTAAATATTTTATTAAAATTTATTAATATAAAGAATTAAAAAAAAAGCTTTCGGAACTCCATAAACAGCAAAGCTAACCAAAATCTTTGAACGGTTTATTTTACCGCTTGTAGTAGGAAGAAACCCCACCAAAGCCAAATCCTTTTTACTATGTTTTCTCACTTTTTTTTTAAATTTTCAATTTTACCTGCCATTAATGCTTGGTATAATTCTAAATCTAGAGTTTCTATCTTGTAGTTCCTTCCCTATTTGAAAATAAGCAGAAGAGAAAGGGACTAAGATCTGACCCCATCTCTCCTTTGCTTCGCCAAAAACTCTCAAAACCCCTTTTTCCCCTCTCTCAAAGGGTTTCCTTATCCTCTCTTACAAATCTCTCTAAAAGGGTAATCCTTTAATCTTTCTTTCATTTCTCATGTTTTTCTCTCTGGGATTTTTGTTTGATCTGTTTTGACTTTTTCACCTCTTTTGGCCTTTTTGAAAATTCTGGGATATTCTTAATTGGTTCGTTGTTGATTTGCATTCAATTTTTTTAATATATAAAGGCTTGATCTTGCTGTCATAACTTAATTTTTCTCTTTTAGTTTTTTGATCCGGATTTTATATTACTGTGGTTGATCAATCATGTATTTTTGTTGTTCGATTTATCCGATTTGATATTGTTTATAAAGATCTCGTGTAGAATAAAGGAAAAAAAACTGAAGCATCTGTTGTTTATTTAATATATTAATATCCTTGAAGCCAATTTACAAAATTCCTGCAAAACAAATAGCTTTAGATTGATCTTCTTAATGTTGTTATACTATTTGATATTTTACTCCTTGTTTTTGATTTTATTATGTCTTGAATTGTCCAGTGATTAATGGGTGTTGAAGTTGTGGGATCTGAAATGGTAAAAGTATCTGTTGACAATGCAACTGAAGTTGACGAGTCACTTCTTCACGATAAGGAAAACGGGAAACTGGACAAGGATCGGGTTCATAGTGAACCCATTGAAGTCGGTTCCGATGCCGAGGAACCAAATAAGGGAGAAGAGAAAAATGTATCTGATGCTAACTTTCCGAGTGATGCAGTTGCCGACTGGCCTGCGCCTAAGCAGATCCACTATTTTTACTTTGTAAGGTATCGTCCTTTTGATGATCCAAAGATAAAGGCCAAAACCGATCAGGTTGATAAGGAGATGCAAAAGTTGAATAAACTCAGGTTTCAGCTTATTGATGAATTAAAATCATACAAGGTGAGTGAATTGCAATTAATTTCGTTTAGTTGGATAGCGTTATTGTTGGCTTAAAATTAGATCAATAAACTATGTTTCGAATATGATATCTGGTTTGTTTAGGGTTGTCGTGCTCTTAAGATATTCATATGCCATCCTGTTTTGTTTTTCATTGGTTCCTATAGATTAGGTGACATTAATGTTGCGACGATATGGATCATTTATCTGATTGTCGGAACCGCAAGTCCTTGAGCATGAAACTAATAATCGCATATATGTTATTGCTTTTTTTACATGTGGTGCGGAATGGGATTTGGTATATATCAGTTCCTCGTTGCTGTATTTTCCTCAAATTGCGAAAGATTCTAAGCTCATTATGCTGCTGCTGTTTAAAGTTAATATCTTTATGTTAATGCAGTCGGATCGAGCAGAGCTGCTATCTCAAGTGAAAGCCCTGAATGTTGATTTCGAGCAGTTTAAGACAATGTTAGGTGAGAAAAAGAAGGAAATGGAACCACTGCAGCAGGCTTTGGGCAAGCTTCGCAATAATAACAATGGTGGAGGTCGTGGTGGTATGTGTTCTTCTGAGGAAGAGCTGAATGATCTTGTATGCTTCTACTGTAAACGAGATTTAAGCATTGTTTTTCCGCTGCAGTCGATCCTTTGCTCTCTCTCTTTCTGGCACTTATCCGGAATTGATAAATTGCAGATCTATAGCTTGCAATATCGCATCCAGCATGAAAGCATCCCATTGTCCGAGGAGAAGCAGCTCCTTAGAGAAATCAAACAACTAGAGGGAACCCGAGACAAAGTTATTGCCAACGCGGCGATGAGGACAAAGATTCAGGAATCACTGGGTCAGAAAGAAGACATTCAAGATCAAGTTAAAGTAAGAAAATTCTGTTTTGCACAATTTTTCTATCAGAATTTTCTTTTCCCCTTTTGTATCAAAGTATAGACTACTGTAAAATTAGACTAATGAACTTGCTATATTTGTTTCATTGTAGCTTATGGGTAATGATTTGGATGGAGTAAGGAAGGAACAAAATGCTATATGGTCTAAGAAAAAGCAAATTAAAGAAAAAGTGAATGCGATAGAGAGCAAAATCGAAGCTTTACAGGAAGAGCTGAACACCGTGATCCAGAAGAGGAACAAAGCTTATGAAACCATGCAGCAACTGTGGAAACAACGAGATGAGGCGGTATGTTGTTCATTGCTTTAAATTGAATCTTTTTTTGTCCTGGTTTTGCATGAGATACTCTACTTTTTTTTCTTTTTTCTATTTCTCTCTTTGCATGAATAGATGCGGTTTTCTATGGGCCTCGGAATGGATACGTCTCTTTTGCATTTGGATGTTTTCTTCTTGGCTCTGCTTACGGATGAAAAAATAAATTTTAACATTTATTCTTTGTCATTTCTGAAGTTGTTTTGGTCATGATTGTTATAATATAATGAATTTTCGATCGGTATGTATTTCCGGGTTTTTCATAATGAAAATTACTTCTGTTTTGCAATTCAGAATGCTCACTTTTACCAAAGCCGGTCACTCTTAAACAAAGCCAAAGAGCTAGCAGCAAAGAAAGATATAAAGGGTCTTGAGGAGCTTTCGACTGTTGAGGTTGTTCAGAATATTGGTTAATGTTATGTCTCGAGTATCGCCTATGTTATAGTTTTTGGCTCCTCTTATTTTTTGTATTGTGCAGGTCGAGAAGTTTATGGCTTTGTGGAGCAGCAAGAAAGCCGTCCGGGACGATTATGAGAAAAGGGTTTTGTTGTCCCTGGACCAGAGGCAATTAAGTCGGGATGGTCGGATAAGGAATCCCGATGAGAAACCACTGGTTGTACAGGTGGCACCGGTGCCTTCTGCACCTGAAACGATTCCAAAACCTAGTGTCCGACAACCAAAGGAAGAAGCCAAACCTTCTCCTGAACCAGATACGAAACCAAAAAAAGGCAAGAAAGATGCTGACATCAAATTAGTTGAGTCAAAATCTTCTCCCAAGAATGATGCCGTAGCTGAGAAAGAGATCTCTGGATCCGGCAACTTGCAAAAGGAAGCCGAAAAGAAATCTGCTGAGAAGGAAATCGACGCAGCTAAACTGAAAGAAATGAAGAGAGAAGAGGAAATAGCAAAAGCGAAGCAAGCCATGGAAAGGAAGAAGAAGAAGGCTGAAGAAAAAGCAGCCAAAGCAGCCATAAGAGCTCAAAAGGAAGCTGAAAAGAAGCTCAAGGAAATTGTTTCATTCTTTAATCATGTTTTGCTCGTCGCTAACTAGTTTGCAGATCTAAACTAATCTTTTTATTTTATTTTATTTCCCCCCTTTCAGGATCGCGAGAAGAAGGCAAAGAACAAGGCGGCAGCATGTGCAAATACTGAGGAACCGACCGAAGCTGTGGTTGAGGCTCCAGAACCTGAGAAGGATGAAAATGCCGATGCAGCAGTTCCTGCTTCTGTTGTGGGGAAGGATAAAGTTCAGAAGGAGAACACCATAAGGTACAGGAACCGAACTAAAGGTCGTGATTCACTACCGAGACCCATCCTGAAACGTAAGAAGTCGACCAACTACTGGATGTGGGCTGCCCCTGCTGCACTGGTGGTGCTGGTACTTATAGCTTTGGGTTACTATTATCTTGCATGAAGAAAGTTAAACTCGAACCGGAACCGAACCGAATGAGTTATACAGACAAACTTTTTCGGTTGATAGTGGTTGAAGTTAGTTAATTTCGTTCGTTGCATCCCAATAGGGATGTACATCCCATAATGTTGCTGGTAGTTCAGTCTTAATGCTTTACTGAGAACAAAACCATGTACTTTTTGTTTGTAGTATTTTTAAAAAAATTTATTGCAATGAGATGATAAAGTTAATCATATTACTGTGTGATTATGTATAAGAAGCTACACAAATATAAATAATTTAAAAGTTGATCACCAATAAGCAAGTAAAAAGTTTAAATACGTGCTAAATTCTTAATTAGGATTAGTCTTCTAATTTAAAAAAAGGGCCCGTACAGATTGAAAAATAAAATTATCAACAGAAGATGCCAAAATATTTTGTTGTTAGTACTAATTTTGCAAAAAAGAAAAAGGGTAAATTAACTATTTCATCAATAAACTATGAGGTTAATTTCATTTTGAACATAGAAAAATAGTTGAGGACTAAATAGTTAATTTATCCAAAGTAAAATAGTGCACTGTTTAGCGTTTTAGGATAGTGTTTGTTCATTAACTAGTTTTGTTAACGGAATGAAACAATAACAATGGCTGCCGCAAGCCTCACCTCCCCATGGCTTCTTCGAAGAGCATTTCTAGCTTTGGCTTTCTCTCAACCTCTTCATTTCAATAAAAATCTTTCCTTCTGTGGAAATCGCTCTTTTCTGTTTCATAAATCTCTAAATTTTTTTCCAATGTCAAATAAATGCAAAGTAATGTTCTCCTATTTTCTTTATTATTCACCTTTAATTTAAATTACATATTTTTTTTATTTAATTAATCTTTTTTTATATGAAAAAAGATTAATTATTTTATTTATTTTTTAGCACGCTATCTATTTACTCTTATATTATATCTTTTTTCACGATTAGATTTGACATCAATTCTCTATAATCAAATGATGTTTATTTAGTTATCTTATTGATTTATTTCTACTTTAGACCTTCATATTCGAAATTGATAGGTGCTCGTAAATCGTAATATTAAAGATATATCATGATTAAGATATGATAATGTCAATTTGTTAACGACTTTTTATTATTATATATTTTTATATTTTTGTTGATAATGGTTATACTTCATCATCGACAATGATGTTTATTTATATTTATCATTTTTTATGATCCTTCTTTTATGTCATTATTGTTATATGATTTTTATTTTAATGTTGTTTATGTTCATCCTATCATTAATAATGATATTTGTTTATAATCTTTTCAGTATCTATATCCTTCATCATTGACAATAACAAATAATCCTGTTTTATTTTTATTTTTTTTAATCAGGAATTATATCCTAAACTCAAATGCAACTAATTACTTTGAAATATGGAAGAAATAATGAAAAAATAAAATAAAAAGAGAAATCAACATATAAAACTTGGAAGCAAAACTATAAACGTTAAAGCACAGATATTATTCATTAAATATCAAAACATTAATCAACAACAAAGTAATATAAAATATCTAAAACCCACCTTCAGGGATGGACATGGAACCGAATCAGACCCGATCGGGTCGGGTTTTTAAAAAAATTGGGTTTGGTTTAGGTTTTTTAAAGGTGAGTTCGGGTCGGGTCGGATTCGAGTTTATGGTGAAAACAACCCGACCCGAAAAAAATATAATTTTACCTTATATATTTATGAATAATTACAATAATACCCCTCTATATATTATTTTTTCAATAAAATCACTGTTTTTATTTAATAAAAATAATATTTTATTATTATTTCGGGTCGGATCGGATTTAGATTTTATATCAAAAAGTCGAGTCGGGTTCATGGTGGAGGTTATATATTTTTCGGGTTAGGTCGGGTGAACGATGTAAACTTTTTTGGCCGAAACCCGACCCATGCCCATCACTATTCAAGAGAGACAACGATCATACTAAACAAAACGCTGGCAGCAAGCAACACTGCACTCGAATAAGTCGTTGTAGCAGATGAACTCGACGGCGCCGGAGATGAACGGTTGGTCGGAGCAATGGTTTGACTTCCACAGGTAGCCTGAGAATCGGACGGCGAAGAATCAATGGGAGAAGGAGAAACACCTTGCGGAGGTGCTGGTGGACTTGAACTGGTTGAAGGTGCCGGTGGACTTAAACCGGTAGACGGTGCCGGTGGACTTAAACCGGTAGACGGTGCCGGTGAGGAATCAGAGGGAGTTGACGCTTGTGGTGACGGAGATGCTGTAGGGCCATGAGACACCGGAGACTGCTAAGGGCCGTACTGTGGAGCATGAGTCGATGGCACCGGTGAACGCGTCAGACCATGAGCCATGACTATATATAGAGAGAGATATACACACATGAAGCTCCAAAGAAACCTCTTCAAACCCAAAACTTTCAATTTTGGAAATTGACAGAGTTTTGGATTTTAATTAAAAACATAAAAAAACGTGTGGAATTGAGCCTATGTTGTTAAGAGTATCATCATTTGAAGAAATGAAATGGGAAGGAGTGTTTAAAATATAGAAATGAAATGTATAAATATTGAGGACTAAATGTATAATTATTTAATTTTTAATAGCAACGTTACTTTCTCTATTAAATGTTAACTACAAGTGGCTTATTGACACACTTAAATAGTTAAGTGAACTGTTTTAAAATTGATGACTAAAATTAAAAAGTACAATAGTTAAATTATCATACGGATATTTTACCCTAAAATGCAAGCACAGAGTTAATATTTCAAAAATGAAAAATAAAAATCAATAACAAAGGCCCAATTCGATCATCGGCCATGTTGGGAAAAATCAGCCCGTGTTAATTATTTAGCCCAATATAACATAAAGTAATATATGTAGGGATCTTTCAAAAAAAAATATTTTATTTAGGGATCTAAATATTTTCTACGGTGACTGGAACTCGTCACGTTGAGATGACGAATTCTAAGTAAATTATTTTTATTCAATTCTTTTACTCCGATGTGATAAAATTTAACTAAGAATTATATTTTATTAGAACTCGTCATCTCAACTTGATGAGTTTGAATAAAAAATATTATTTGGGCAAAGTCGTCGCCTCGAGGTAGGGATGGGCATGAGACTTGAACCTGACAGGTTTCAACCCGAGCAACCCAATCGGGTCTGGTTTTTTAAATCGGTTTCGGGTTGGGTTTTTAAAGGTGATGATCGGGTCTGATCGGATTCGGGTTTATGGTGAAAAATACACGACCCGATCTGATCCGGAAAAAATAATTTACCTTACATATTTAGAAATAATTATAATAATACCCCTCTATATATTATTTTTTAATTAAATCATTGTTTTTATTAAATAAAAATAATATTTTTTATTATTTTGATTCGGGTCGGATCGTATTTAGGTCAGGTGGAAGGTATGTATTTTTCTAGTCGGGTGAAAGATGTAAATTTTTCGGATCACCAACCCGACCCAAACCCGATTCATGTCAATCCCTATCTCAAGGTGATGAATTCCTTGCCAAAATAGCCAAAATAAATTTATATATGTCCGTCTTATTAGGCAAATTTTTTTTGCTCGGTAACCATATTGGGCCAAAAAAACCTTGTTCTTGACCTAAATGGGTTGCCTTAGCTCCCCTTGTTACAAACTCCCTCTCAACGGCGTCTTTTAATGCAATTAAATTTACAAGTAAAAGATTCCAAGTAAAAGAGAGAAAAATACCAAGTCGAGAAATTCCATTAACAAACATTTTTTTATGCTCTAATTTCTCGATCTCTTTCAAAACTCTGAAAAATCCACTCTTTTGACAAAAACCGAGGGAGACAAATATCGAAACAACGATACAGAAAGATCTGCAAAAACCCAACAGGTAAAATTGAAAAAAGAAATCTCGAACAAATGGATTTGTTGTGTTTTTTTTTCTTTCTCGTTAGACACACTTGGGGATGTTGTGGTTCCACTATCGAAGGAGAAAGAATTTTGTAAATGGTATTTGTTTAATTTGGTTGTAAGAATTCATGTTGTTTATGTTATAATGTGAATTTTAGGATAATCCTATGTTTTATTGATTTTTTTCTTTTTGGTTTCTATCGTGCATTCTTTGCTTTCAGTGTGAGATAGCTTATAGGCATTTTCTAACTTTATTTATTTTGTGTTCGGGTTTTTAGACCTTGAAAATGTGGGAATGTTGTAAGATATGCTTTCGTTGTTGTTAATTATGGATGTAGTTTTTACTTGAGGATATTAATGTTTTTCTTCTTCTTTTTTAACATTTTTTGTTTCAGAGATTGGGTTTTTGAGGCTGCTTTTGGATATTTGGATGTGGGTATTGAACTGTAATTGAAGAATGGGTGGAATGTGAATGGTTTGAGGGGTTTAATTTTGGGGTGGCTTTGATCCTTGGTGTCCAAGGAGTTTGTGTGTTGAAATGGCTGATATAGAAGGTTTACAAGCAGCAGCAGGGTCTAGATTTAGTCAGGTGGAGTTGATTGGTAGAGGATCCTTTGGTGATGTCTATAAAGCGTAAGTGTATTATCTTGATTTCTTTCCCAATCACATTGCTTCAGTACAGTTGCATTGTTTATTTACATTTTGTTATAAGAAAAGAACTTTAATGTGCTAGTTATACTTGCTAATTGTGATTGAATGTATGTTGCTCATTATAATTTTTTTTACAGTGCTTAATTTAGAGTTGTTTTGTGTTTATGGGGTTAGATTATCGATACCAATGCCTCAAGTCTTAAGTTGAATATATGAGATGTCCCTAAGATTTGAAATATAAAGAAAGAATCTGTCTTCCTGTCTGTTGGGGTAAAAGAAGCTTAAAGGGCTGTTGGGTGCTGATTGACTATCAAATCATAGGAATATATGGAGACATCTGAACTTTATGAGTATTCTAATTACTTTGTTCAATTGTGTTTGTTATTTTGTTATTTCGTTTTGTAATGTTTGTAGCAGTTGGATGATCTTGCTCTATGAATATGGATATACTAAAATAAGCTTTGAGAAATGAGAGTGAATGGCTGTTTAAATAATGAATCTTGGTAATGAAAATGAGATGGATAACTGATGTTTTTCTTGATTTGCAGGTTTGATAAGGAGTTGAACAAAGTAGTTGCTATTAAAGTTATTGATTTAGAGGAATCGTAAGTTGGTTCATTTGTTAAATTAGCAAGAAAGTATTCTAATTTATATACTATCTTCTGTTTGTAGTTCCTTTTTCAAGTTAGATCTGCCAACTTTGGACACAATACATTTACACGGCACAACCGTGAATGATAAGAAAACACGACAAGAAAAAAATAACACGAACAAGACACGAATTAATGAATGTGTCAAAATAGATATAACATTAATTGTTTATGTGTCAAAGTTTATAAATATTCAATATCTTAAACACAATTATGACACATGAAATTACACAAACAAAAAAAACTCGAGTTGTTGGGGCTATGTCAAGTATTAGCATCTTCCTCTTAGTCTATGTTAATTAATTGCATCAATTGTTTGTTCACGTGTCCAGCATAGTAAATTTATCTTCCCCTTGTCAATATCGTCCTTAGAAGCATTATAATTGATCAACTTGCATGGGAGTTGCAGAAGCCTCTACTTACTAACAAGTAGCTGGGACATATAAATCTTCTTTCATTTCACTGTTTTTATTTTTATTTTGGTTTTTAGCTGTTTCTTATGGTCGCGTTGTTTTGCATTTTGCAGCGAGGATGAAATTGAGGACATCCAGAATGTATTGCCTTACTTACCTGGGAGCTAGTATCCTAAGTTTTCAATGAGTAGGTTACTAGGTTTTTCATATGTTCTGTTTTTGTTCCAGGAAATTTCTGTTTTGTCACAATGCCGCTGTCCATACATCACAGAGTATTATGGTTCCTACCTTCACCAAACTAAACTGTGGATAATAATGGAATACATGGCTGGTGGTTCAGTTGCTGACCTAGTATGTTACTTCTATGATTTGCTTCTGCATGTTTGATTCATCAAGTATCATTGCTTAAGACTATGCTTTAAATGATAAGGAATAGGTTTAATGTTGCTCTATGTATTACTTGAGGTGCTGAGGAACTTGGTTACCTAGCTTTTTCCATATTACTTTTCTTATAATATTTCCCTCATAGATCAAAGGGCATTGACCTTGATTTCCTTCTCTCGCTCTCTATTAGGGGGTTGTTGGGGGTTGGGGTCGGGGGCATTGGAAAAGGGGAGAGTTGCTAATAGTGATCTTGTGTAATTTTAAAAGTATTAACCTCATGATAAAGATTCTATATAACTATTTTCATTCCTAAATTTCATCTAAAGTAGGTAAAGATAATTACAAAACTTTGAAGGTATTGCTACTGTCTTTCCTATGATAGTGCTTTTAGCTCCAATTTGAAGGCACTTTTCTTAATAGACATCGGTAGTCTTTTTCTTCTTTTATTTCCCTGTTCTAATGCAGCACACAATCTCCGTTTCGATTTTTTTGGAGGGTATAATACAACTACCAATTTCATCATATCTCTCTTCTCTTTGCATATGAACTAGCCTTTGTCCACTCATATTTGTGTCAATGAACTTGTTTGTTATCTGTTCTTTTTTGCACTATAATTCTCGAATAACGTTCTTTTCTTTTTATTTTCTGGAAAGTTAATGGCTACTCTTTGTGAGCAGCTCCAACCTGGTCATCCACTAGATGAAATGTCCATTGCCGGTATCATAAGGGATTTGCTGCATGCAATTGAATACCTACATAATGAAGGAAAGATTCACAGAGATATCAAAGGTTGTTTTTTATTCACTCACTTTACCCACTTGTAAGGTATACGATATAGTGTCACATATATAAGAAGAATTTTAGAACATTCGGTTCAGAGATTTGTATAGGTACATGCCTGCTTCAAATTATTCTTCTCTTTTTTTTTGAGCCACTTGATTTTTAACTGTTGTTTGCATATATCAACTTACCTTCTTACTGCCAACATTTTTTACCATCACTTTTGGCAGCGGCAAACATTTTATTGGCTGAGAATGGTGATGTTAAGGTACTTCTCTTCCTCTCAAATGGACTCAAATTTAGCATGAATTATTTCTGTAGAGTTGCTATGCATATAAGTATCCAGTTGGTACAGGTATATGCATTCTGCTGTTGGCATTTAAGTCTGTGCCCATGAAACAGGTTGCAGATTTTGGTGTTTCAGCACAACTAACAAGGACGATATCCCGGAGAAAGGTACAATACATTTTCTTTTTCGAGTTAATAGCACAAGATGTCAAACTATGACCCCCATTCTAATTTGGTCCCTAAACTTTAAAACATTATGTCCAGCTAACTCTACAAGTTTTTGAAGGTCCTGATAATTAAAAATTCTAATCTATTTTTTAGAAGGTCACAGGTTCAAATCCCTGGAGCTTCAAAAACAGATTACAATTTTTTTAACCAGCAGAGTTAACCGCACGTTAACAAAAGGATCAAAATGGATTTATACTGATAGTTTGAGGATTGATATATGATATTTTAAATCTTAAGTACCAATTTAGAATGGGGTCCTAGTTTAGGGACTGAAATAAAATGCTTTAAAGTTTAGAGATCAATTTAGAATGAGATCATAATTTGGGGACATCATGTGCAATTATCTATTTTTTGTTAACACCATTTTTCCAATAAGCATGAATGCTCTTTCGGGCTTTGTCTTCCGCTATTTTTTCCTTAATATCCATGCCTTTAGTGACACCCTAATTTCTGGCTGCTCTGTCTGCCCCCTCTGTGTGTAGAATGGTGTGATAGTCGTATGATCAGCAATGAACTAACATGGTTGACAACATCAGACTTTTGTAGGAACACCATTCTGGATGGCACCAGAAGTGATTCAGAATTCAGATGGATACAATGAAAAGGTACTTCTACACCTGTGCTTATATTTCTTGAGTTTTCTAACATGTTTTGCTGCTTTCACCTCACATCTATTTGTGCATTCTCTCTATCTATTAAGCACATATGCGCAGCCTGCCGTATCTTTGTCTGCTAAGCCTTGTCGAATAATGGGCGTTCCATCACTCCAGTTATTTTCTGTTACAGGCAGATATATGGTCTTTGGGAATAACTGTGATTGAAATGGCCAAAGGAGAACCTCCATTGGCTGACCTTCACCCTATGAGAGTTCTTTTTATAATACCCCGAGAAAATCCGCCGCAGGTAATATCATTAGTTTTGTTATCATGATGAAATTTGTGTCAAATGATTTATTCTTATGTTTTTCATTCTCTTGGCGAAATCATTATGATTTACATTTTGATGTAATCCTAAATTTCTATCCTGCAGTTGGATGAACATTTTTCCCGCCCTATGAAAGAATTTGTTTCTTTATGTTTAAAGAAGGTACCTGCTGAGGTGAGCAATTATGCTTTCAGCTTCCGTATGTGTCTGTATTTTAGGTATGTTGTATTGTGACTGTTGTCTTGAACTCTGTGAGCTGCCTATAAATCGCAAAATTTATGTTGATGTGCTGTCTTTTAAAACTACTCTGATGTGTAAAAGTTAAGTGAACCTGGAATTTTGGTTAAATTGTTTCCGAGTTCTTTAAATTTCCTTATTCTTTTTTTTAATCTGTTTAATTTCAGAGGGCTAGTGCCAAGGAACTTCTCAAGCATCGTTTTATCAAGACCGCTAGGAAGAGTCAGAGGCTTCTCGAGAGAATTAGGTGCCATCACTTACTCGGTTCTTTGTGATCTACATATTATGGGAATTTTCTGTGTCAGCATCTGATAAGGAATATGCTTATGTTGTTTGTTCTGTTTTTTAAAATGTCATGATTAGGGGATGCTATGCTTGAAGTATCATTCTTACATTGGTTATTGTAGTTAAGATGCTTGCATTTTTTTTGTTCTTAATAGAGACCGGCCAAAGTACCAATTGAAGGAAGATGCTGAAACCCCCAGAAACAGCCCCAATCCTTTAGGGGAATTTACTGACACTGTGAAGGTATTAAGAGATATAAGAGGTGAAGGAACTGTTCGAACTAGGTGGGTTGACCATGTTAATTAGCAATTACTTTTTTGATTTTGATGGGATTCTTACTGACCTCTTCTGATCAGCAGTAATATGGGGAAAACATTTAGAAGTGCTGGATGGGACTTCAGTATTGGTGGAATGCAGAATACAGGCACCGTTCGAACTGCTCCAAAACCTCCGCAAGTTAGAGAAAGGAAATCGGACGTTTCATATAATCAAGCTAAACTGAGACCTCCAAGTGGGAATGCACTTAATGAATTCCCTGACGTTTCCTTTGGCGAAGGCATTAGAGAGTCACATTCCGATGAAAATCAGGATAACTACCATGATGTAAGACTCTCTCTCTCTCACACACACACACAAAAACCTATGTGCTCAATAAAAAGCTCCATTGCATGGGAGGATCTTTGGGTTTGAAAGACCTCTTTTATTGACAGGTTGGAGCTAAACGTATGATTTTTTTTATTTGACATGCACATGCTTTGTTATTAAATGACCAATTTTTTTTTAGAATTATTGTCCTGTCTGCTTCTTATCAGACTAGAGAAGCTTGCAAAGCTGGATCCACTAGCCATTTCTCACATAGTCTGTTTATGTCTCTCACATTTAACTATATGGTCCTTTTCTGCTTGGATCATATTAAATTGGTTTTTTGTTTTGTTCCCAGGATGAAACATCAGTCAGTGGGTCAGGAACTGTAGTCGTAAGATCTCCTAGAGGATCTCAATCATCTGCTTTGGTTCGTGACCCAAGTTCTCTTGTAAGCCTCCTTCACTTTACTTGCAGTTGTCTCCACAAATATTTAAAGATGAATTCTTGCTCAAATTATGGTTCTTGACCCAGTACTATGCTCAACTTTGGGAGTTAGTCCTTGTACCCTAATTTGGCATAATTTGATCCTCTTACTATTATTAATGTTATACCCTAGTCCAGATCACTAGTACCGTAAAAAGAAATCGTTAATCGTCTGGTGTAGACTGACACCAACATTAATGATTTGGTATAAATCCTCAAGTTGAATATGGTACGGGGCTAAATCCTTGTGTCTCAGCTGTTGATTTTTTAGATTTCAATATGTGTCGTGTAGTCTAGCAGCGGATATGCCTCTTTTGAAGATGCTTCTACCAGTGGAACTATTGTTCTCCATGGACAACATGACGACTCTGATTCTCAAACTCCAAGATCTAGGGTAGGTATTCAAGGGAAGCCTTCGACTGCATCAGCTGAAGATAGTACAGCAAATCTTGCCGAGGTTGTTCACTTTTCATCTTTCTTGATCATCTTACCTGTTGAGATTCCTCCTATATAAATCCGAGTTGATTGAACATGGAGCTCAAATATATTATTAGCTTCTAAATACGGCGTGTATGATCATGCTAATTTATTGAAAAGGTCATTTTTTAACTTGTCGGTCCAGGCAAAGGCTGCAATTCAAGCCGGGCTGACGAGAGGAAATGCTAGGGACAAGTCTGCAATGAGCAAGAACAGTACCCCGGGAAACGAAAACAGAAGAAGATATCAAATGAGTAAGAGTTCCGACTCTTCCAGGTAAACCTGATAAAGAAATAACTTTCGGTATCTTCACTGCAGCATTTTATATGGCTTTGGTTATGATATGGTTGTGCTGATATCTCTATCATTATTTTATTCCTGAAGTTCTCATGAATATTTTGATACACAAAGAGCATTCCCAAGAACACGTCAACCAAGTGATGATGAAGAAAATGCAAAGATTGCATCATCATCTGTACCACTATCCATGTTGCTTATCCCTTCCATTAAAGAGGTGTGCACCACATGATGTTTAGTTATGTTTTTCCTTGCCAATTAATGTGATAGATGTAACTTTGAAATTTTGTTTGAATTTATGTAGTGTTTAACCCAGAGGCTGTATTGAGTTGCTTGGATAGATACAAATTTCTCTATCGAGTATGCAATAACTAGAACTTAATCTAGATTCAGACTCTCTTTCATCCACGTCTAAATAACTTCATTGTATTAACTGATTCATATTATTGATTGAATGAAACAACTGCGTACCAACTCAAGTTAGTAGGTTATGATTAAAAAATGTTAAGATAAATGGAAACTACCAGGATTAAAAGCTAGGATATTGGAAATGGTTTTGACTAGTAGAATGTTGATATAGGGTCATTTGATTTGAGCCCTGCATAATACATGTAAAATTTACGAGGAATTCTGAAAGATGTGATGATTATTCCGTTTCCTGATCAGCTGCTGACATGTGTTAATTTTGCGTTATTCCTGTTCACATCTTAATAGTTCGTCAATGCACGGAATGTAGGTAATTGCTGATGATTCAGAAGGGTCAGTTGCGCATGCGGTTACAAGTTCTTTCATGCTAATGGAGCGTACAAAACCTGGATCTTGTGAAGCTCTTGTATACAAGTTGCTCGATCGATTAGCAAGGTACGTAAAGAAAATAATTTGTTCTCTCACGGTATCCTCTCTTGATTAAACTCAAGTAGACGTAAACTTTTGCAGCTCAAAGGAATCATCAATGAAAGATCTGCATGAGCTTTCATCTCGCTTGTTCAATAAGGGCGAGACACAAAATAGAATCCCAAATACCGACAGTAAGAAAAAGGCGCAGCATAAAGAACTTCATTCGAATTCCAACTTGAGTCCACTAGCAAGATTTCTTCTTTCCAGGTCTGACTGAACATTACTCCCTTAACTAACAAATGATTCATCGTTTGAGAAGTTGAGCTCTTTCTTACAATCTGCTATTTTAATGGGGCACTAAACTGTTCCGGAACCATTTTCGTATGATGCACAGATGGCAAAGCCAAACATCGCGAGATCTCGAGCCTGGTTAAAACGAAAACTGTTGGATCGAGTATACATCTCTGCTTCGTAGTGTGGTTTAATTTTATGCATTTGTTCTGATTTTGATGTTCATAACATGGAAAGCAATTGTGTATTTTATTTCTGCTTCACATTTGTCTTGGCATCATTGATGTATAATTAGGGTTTGCAATTGTAATATCATCAAACATTAATCATTCATTAAACATGATATCTTTGGCGATATGTCCTGATAATTTTCCTAAATGAATGGACCGGCAGTGCCTTGTTTTATGGATGTAGAAATCAACACCTTATAGAGGCTAAGCTTACAATTCTTGTCCAATATGGGGAATAATAACAAAATAGGACTAAAATTTATGCTATTGTAAATTGGGAATTAGAATTGTTTAGCCCAAGACAAAAGTGTTTTATTGTAAAATCACCCTTAAACTAAACTCTTTTTTACCTAAATTAAATTAGATAATGTAAATTTTTAACATGCACGTATTAACTTGATTGGCAAGATGAGTTTTGGTCAAATTTTCATTAGGAAATTTGTAAAAACGAAATTTTAGACAATTACTTTGATTAAAAAAAGGCAGATATTTAGCAAAAATTAAATTAAACATTTATTTTTCAAATAAACTAAGAAAATGTAAGTATTAAATTATAAAAAAAATTAAGTTTAGGGTGTAAAAAGTTATTTTGTGCTTCCAAACTAAAACCCCAATAGCTAAAACCCATTCCCTTCTCCTGCTCCTCTTCTCTTCCCCAAAGATGTACCCAATGTCTCACCCGTGTCGTATCCCGCACGTGTGGCCCCTCTCCCCGAGGATTCCTCTGAACGAGGTGGGGACGTGAGGAATGAACAAAGCGAGGAGATGGCGAGAGAGAGTAGACAAATTCAGGCTGAGAGTTGAGTTTGGAGGAAACCTTTTAGGATTACGACAGAGGAGGAGAAAATTCCCTTCCCTTCGCTGCTTATGCCTGAGAAAAAGAACGAGAAGCGTGCTGTTCTTGATTTGATGGATGGCATTAGGGAAGTCAAGGTGAGTGTAAATGCTTCTTCTTTTGAAACAATTTAATCTTCTGCATATTTCCTATGACAAACACGCTTAGTTGTTGACTTCTTGTATTTTCTTTGCTAATTACATCAAGTTATTTCTAGTAATTTGTTCAGGCTACTGCCAAGGCGAACTTCGATGAGACCATCGAAGCTCATGTGCGATTGGGTATCGACCAAAAGAGTTCCGAGCTGGTATGCATCATCTTAGTTTGTCTGGGTTCTTATTTGTAACATTCTTTTGAAGTAATTACAGCTTTTGGTTTCTATATTTTGTTTGTAAGAGGGGATTTTTTGTCTGCTTACTGCTCCTCCAACTGAAATGCATATTGTTCGTGGTACAATGGCACTTCCTCATGGTGCTAAGAAGGTATTCGGAACTTTTTCTTTCAATTCATGGGAATAGGTTGCACTAAACTGTTATCTTGTCTGTTAACAATACTATATATGAATTTTCAGGAAGTTAGGGTGGCTGTTTTTGCTGAAGGAATAGATGCTGATGAAGCTAGAGCTGCCGGAGCAGATATTGTTGGTGGCGTGGAACTTATTGAGGAAATCGCAAGTATTAAACCACACTTGTTGATATTGTTTTCGATATATGCTTAATCATAGTTCTTCGTTGTCTTGAGTTAATTATTGTTATCACCCTTGTCAGGGTTTATGCCCTTTAGGTTTTTGCTTTTGCGTTCCCTCCCTGAACCTGAGCTTGTATTGTTGTAGGCACTGGCAAGGTTGACTTTAACCGATGTTTCTCAACACAGTTTCATGAAACGCCTTTATCAGGTTCTTGATTTCAGATACTCTTTCAAATACTGCCCCCTTATTAATGTTATCATTTGGTTCAACTGATGTGATTTTCACGTCTTGCAGATATCGAAGATTCTGAATCAACATGGTCTGATGCCAAACCCCAAAGTAAGTTTATCATCTAATCATTATTTTTGTTAATGCATGACTAAGTGGAAACACCACTCCTCACAGTTACATTTATAGCAAGGTACTGTCACCAAAGATGTTACCAAGGCAGTCAAAGAAGCAAAACAAGGTCAAGTAAAATTCAGAATGGACAAAACGTCTATTGTGCACGTCGGAATTGGAAAGGTTTCATATCTTACTTATGAACATGATCTTGTGGTTTTAAGAATGTCATTGCTGAAAGTGAGGTCATGAAACTTTTCACCTGTGGTACAGGTGAGCTTGTCAGAGGAGCTTTTGCGTGACAATGCTGGCGCATTTACGAATTCTCTTTTGCAAGCAAAGCCAGCAGGACTAAAGAAGAGTAAGAGAGCTACACATTATATTTTATATTTGCAAATTTATTCAGTCTTAGTGTGACTGTGTTGCTTGGAGAAATGCCTTTCTAGTGTGCAAGTGATATAGTGCGGAAGTATATGAAGTTATGAACAGTAAGAAGAAGAAAAAGATATGATGCAGAAGTGGAAACAATAAAAGAAAACCAAAATATCTACTCATATTCTGGATAGGATTTATCTTTTAGCCTGCCGTAAAAGAGTTGCAATTACAATGAATTACTTTGCCAACAGAATGATTTTATGAAGTAACTTTAATCTTAAATTTTCCAATCCTCAAACCATAAACTATGAAAATGGTTATTTGTTACCCTTAGTTGCATTCTAATGCGATGCAGATTAACTTCTTAATTCAATAACTTTAATTGGGAATCAATTATAATTACTTAATATTCAATAAACTAGATAAAAGAATTTAAGTATAACATGCAAATATTAAACAGCCAATTTGGTGAACTTCTAGGATAGTCCTGCATCAGTAACTTTCTTGAATGGACCCTATTTTCTGTCTGATTCTATGTTTATACATAATTTTGGGGTTTTTTTTACAGCTTCCAAGTATGCAGGATATGTGAACTCCTTCCATATATGCAGCACAATAAGTTCATCATGTTTATTTATATTGCATTTTAGCCGCTGTTCATTGATACCTGTTACTTTTAGAAACTGGTATCCTTTTATAAACTACTCTGATAAACATAAATGATTTTGATATGACGTTAAATATAATATTTTTTTGTAAAATTAATTTTAAGTCCCTAAAATTTTTCAAAGCTTTACAATGAGTCTTTTAAGTTCAAATTATATTAAAAATGTCATTCAAATACTTTAGAATAATTTTCAAAGTCTTAAATTTCTCAAAATGTCAAAAACTGACTTTTTAAACAAGCATTGCCCAAAAGTTTCGAAATTTCTACAAGAGTTTCGAAACTTTCCAACAGTCACCCAAAAAGTTTCGATACTTAACTGTAGTTTCAAAACTATCTCAAGAGTTTCGAAACGTTTTTTAAAGTTTCGATAATTTGGGTCCAATGGTCATATTTTTCAATTGTTCTTTCGAAGAGTTTCGAAACTTTCCACAGAGTTTTAAAACTGTGTGCAGGTAGCCTTAAATGCGTGAATTTAATGCTTCAAACGACTCCAAACTCCCTCTAAAAACCACAAATGGATAGAAATCAATGAGAGCATATAAAAGGGGTCTTCAAACAGCCAAGAAAAGACAAGAAAACTATTGCAACAATCAAAGAGCATTTAGAGCCAAATTTGTAATCTATTTTGTCCTTCTTACATAGAACACTATCCCATTCTTTGTAATTTTCATTCTAGTGTTCTTGGATGTGTGAGAGCTTCAATTTGCAAACATCTTATCTTGTGAGGACATTCAAAAGTTTGCTTCTTTGTAATTTCTTCTTAGAAATGGTTGTACACTTGAGACTTTGGGGTATAAGTCTACGTGTGTTGTAAGGTTACAGTTTGTCCTAAAAGGTTAGAACAAATTAGTTGATTTTTCCTATCAAAAAAAAAAATTAGTTGATTTGTTGAAATACTTTAGTGTGGAAGCTAAGGTAGTGGATGTAGACTTCATTGAAGAAGTTGAATCACTCTAAAATTGCTTGTCAATTTTTCATTTTCTTGCAAAAAGCTTCCATCATTTTTCTAATTGCCAATTCACCCCTCTTGGCTATTCCATTGATTTTATTGACACAACATACTCACTCTACTTGCTATGCTTGTGAATTCAAAAGTATTTGCACTCTAGGCAACTTTGCTAAGCTTAATAATTGCTAGGAACTTTCAGTTGCATGTTTGAATGTTCTGATATAACCTCTTTTTGGATGTTGATTATAAATGCTTCACTACAAAGTGAGGGAAGAAGAATGAGGATTTTATTGTATGATTTCACGAACATGCATACCACCATATGAACTATTCATTATCTCAGATGTTAATACAATGTCAACTGTCGCTAACTTTCCCGTGATGTCGGGGCATGTTCAAGTTAAAATTTTATCATCTGATTTATAACAAATGTGTTTCGAATTTAAATGTCTTTGTGCAGATGGGTCCTGGTTTTCGTGTGTCTCTACAGTCATTGTCCAGAGCAGCAGATCACTACAGCAAAGTATATCTTAACGCCTAATTCATTTATCCAGACTAGCAGAACACTACAGTGTTCATTGCCTGAGTGGATGGTTCCTCGGAGACCCAAGTGCATTCACAGAAGGTCTTCAAGATTTTAAGGTTTTGTTGCGACTACAATTGAATATTGTGTTGTAATCTGCTGATACTCTTTGTAGCCCTAGACCAATCCCATCAATGGCAGAGTCATAGCTTGGTGAGGTAGGCACGTGTTCACCTTAAAATTCAAATTTTCTTCGATTAGTTATTTATTTTAATGATGGTGTTCACCCTGAAATTTTTCGTGTCCAACCTGAAATCTAAGTTTTCTTCGATTAGGTACTTATTTTACGGACGTTGTCCACCTTGAAATTTTATTTGTATGCATTCTATTTAAAAATCTTATGTTGTTAACATACGTGTGTCTACCCTAAAAAATATTTTTGGATCCGCATTTAAACCGAAGCTAGTTTCTTTTAACTATTATTCTTATTATTAGATTGACATATATAATAAAAATGAAAAATACCATATCAATAAGATCTATATAAATCAGTTTTACAGGGTAATTAATGTACGTTTGTTATTTCATTAAGATTATCCTTGTCTGTGCAATTTTGACCGACGTTGTCATCATTGTCGGCATTACTGTATACTAATCAAATTCACTTTGTAAGATCTAAGTCCTTGCTTCATCATAATCCCTTCCCGTATCCTCAAACCTCACGTTTGTTGAATGTCTAACAATTATATAAATTATTTTATATTTTAATAGACCAAAGTAATAAAGTAATAAACAATTCCATATTTTTTAAATAAAATCTTGAATTTAAATATTATGAATATAAAAGGTTTATGGAAGAGAAAAAAGTAGGGGGAGGGGGAGGGCACATCACATGCGAGTGGGGCAGAGTTGGCCTGAAAGCAAGCAAACAGGTACTTTGCTATTCCATCCAAATTACCTAAAATGCAACTAATTTGATTGCAAAGCCAATCATTTCAGCAATCACGTGCTCAATTCCAAACTTAATATAACCAAAGCTACCCCACACTCTTTCATCATCACCCAAACATTTTCTTCATGCTTTGCTCCTCTCCTCTCCTCTCCTATTGCTTCAATCTCTCTATTATTCTGTACTGTTTTTTCTTCCGTATATTTATATGATTACGACGTATTATTTGCTTAAAATTTTATTAATCTATTGATAATGTGTATATACATTTACCGTTGAGATCTTCTAGAGAGAATATCATTTCTTTTTATCACTGGTTTCACTTAACGGGTTCTCGTCTGCAAAGTTCACTCAAAATAAGATTTGTTGATACGATTTAAATTTACAAGTTTTATATGTTTTGAACATATTGAGTGGCATCAGTGGTTAAAGAGTATTATTCTCCCTAGAGATTATGGGTTCAAACAGTTACGTTTGCAATGTGTGCGTTGTTTATTAATACTTAATAAAGATTATAACATATAGAATATTTAAATTTTACACTATATAAATAAACCCCATTTTTTTGATACATTATTATATATAAATAAACATTTAATGATTGGTTTAATCAATAACAAATAAGTTCTCATACACATGTATTGAAAACCCTATTTTTATGTTCGTATCATATTGATATTATTTTTTATAATTATAATTACATATTATATAATTAAACAAAATTTGATATATTTTATACTTTTAAGCTCATTTATATTTAATCATTTTTTATAAACACGAGATATCTATATTATTTTAATATAATGCAGATTTTTCACGCACCACTCGTGATATAGTTATGTACGTAGAAGATTAAACAATTACATTGGAAATGAATAAATAAAAAAGAACCGAAAAATATGTAAAACATTGTGGATTAGGCAAATATTAAGATTAATTAAGGATAGAAACTAATAATGCACGATGGTACAGTCATGAAAATAAAATCTAGGTAGGGCAATAACATTAATTAGCAGTCATTTCAAGACCATAAATGGTAAGTTCCTAAGTCTAATTAGCAAGTCCACATGCAATCAAGCTCAGTTTGGGACATCTTGCCATCAGCAACAGAGCCAGTGTTGCCTTCCTCAGATACGGCCCCCCAATTGACAGACGAGCCACCGCGAAGTGGTTGCGCCGCCGGTTGGTAGAGGAAGAAAGAGAGCTGCGGATTCTCCTCAAGCGACCTCAGGCTTGGAAACACTGGAACACCCTCGTTTCTTGCATACCTTGAAATGGAATCGAAGCTGTTGTTGAACATTTGGAGTGGAGGAGGTACCGGTGGTGGCAAGGCAAGGTTGAATCCGCCGTGGCAGGTGGGAAGGGTGGCAGCATTGGTGGAGAAACAGGACACGTGCTCGGTTTGGTTGTGGCTGTCGTAAGAGCAGATGTCGCGGTCAGTGAGGGAAACGCCGCCGGTTGCAGCCGTGGGATCCAGGAGCGGTGGAAGGGAGACCGAGGAAGGAGAGCTTGGTTCTTGGTAGAGCAGCATGGGGGCGGCGTTCATGGTGGTTCTCTTGGCTCCTCCGCCTCCATTGCCAGTGCCACTCTTCTGAAAGACCCTGGATATCACCCATTCATCCTGGAATAGTAAAATAAAACACATGCAAATTTCAGCAAACAGTGAATACTTGAAACAAGAACCAGAGGTTCCAAATCACCTTGAAAATGGCAGTCGGCAGATAATAAAAAAAACACTTCATAAATGAGATTTCAGGCGTCTTTTCATTGGATTTCGAGTTCACAGAAGAGTGAAACTGTTAAACCTCATGGTGCTGATCAGATCTTGCATGTAAAATAGTAATCTTTAAGTGTACATACATGAATGGAAAGATGCCATTTGCTTTTAACGTACAGATTTAGAGAAATACAGTTCATTGGCCAGAAGTCCAAATGCAAAAAGCTCTTTCTAAAGAGATCATATAACTGTTAGATCACAGTGTTAATCTGAAAAGTACAGGTAAAAAACCACAGTAACAAGAGTTGTAACACAGATTAATGACTTTCAATTCATTGTTCAAAGGAACAACAGTTGCTTTTAACATGCAATGTTACTGTGTAAGAACTTCCATTTTCATTAATAAAATTAAAGGTTTTCCCATTGGAATAAGTGCAAAAAGACATGAAGTTTACGATCAAAGAGAAGGATATAGACCTTGGAGCTTGTACAGAGGTAATGGTAAGCAAATTTGCCTTCCAGGCGATATTCATGCATGACCCAGTTGCTTTTCTCTCCTTTAGGAGCTCTTCCCCTATAAAAAACCAGTGTCTTCTTCATCCCAACGAGTGCACAAGTCTTTGAACTATAAATCTCCCGATCTTTCCCAGTAGCTTTCCAGTATCCAGCTTCAGTTGCTCGGTTAGTTCTCAACCCAGTTGGGTACTTCCTGTCCCTTAAGCAAAAAAAGTACCACTCTCTCTCTCCCATTTTCGCCTTCTCTGCAACAAGAAACAAACAGCACAAAAGCAAAAAATAGTTAATAACATCATCATCGTCATCATATTTACATCGATTTATGTGTAACAAAGAAAGGGATAGTAAAAGGATATGAAAATGATTGCCAACCAGGAAGTTCCCAAGGCTCACACTTGTTGAGGTCAACCTCAGCTATGGCTCTACCAGTAAAACCACTATCAAGAACTTTCTTCAACAGGTAGCATGTAATGAGCTCTTCATCGGTTGGGTGGAAACGAAAACCCGGAGGTAAATGTGTTTGGTAACTATCCATTACCTCAAGAACCCTTAACCAAGGCTACTGAAAAGTGAAAACCCTAAGCTTCAAAGACAAAGTTGATGACAATGGAGTGAAGAAAAAAGGGTTTATATAAAATCTCTCTCTCTCTCTCTCTGTGTGTGTGTGTGTGTTTTATCTGGGATTTCTGACCTGATTCTGAAACCTCTCGGTTTGCTCTTTCCCTTATGTGTGAAGGAAAAAGGGGTTTGGAGTATGCGTGCGTGTGTGAGAAAAGGGTGCAGAAGCAGGGTTTTCCCGGGTGTCAGTGAAGAAGAAGAAGAAGGGAGGGGGAAACAGAAAGAAGCTTTTATGATAGTAAACTGCTTTGAGAGGAGATGGGAGGAAAAGAGGGAAAGAAAGACGAGATTTTTCACCATGAATCGATAAAGCTGTTTCATATCTTCATCGTCAGCACTTGACAGTGACTTTGTAATTACCTAAGCCCTCTCTCTCAGTTCCTTTTTCTTTGTAACAAAAACAGTTAATTACAATGAAATATTTTTATAGTATTGTTATATTCAGTTAACTAAGCGGTTTTCATCTTAATACTCCCATTTTAACGATGTAAATGAATTCAACGTTCAACGAATTGTTTAATAAATAATTTGTTTGTGTTTGTTTACTTGTCCAATGAATAAACATAAATAAATTTTTTCGTTCGTTTAATCAAATGAACGAATACTAACAAAAGATTCGTTTATTCATTTATATTTGTAAATATTCAGTAATACATTTGTTTATGTTCGTTTAAATTTATTAACATATGTATTTTTCACCCAACAAATCACTATCTCTTTCGTTTGATGATAGATTGAAGAAAAAATCCTAGGTCAATCATTTAAATTTACGTTTGTTTGTATTCGTCTGTATTCATTTATCATTTTAGTTAAGGGATGGACCTAGGCGGGTTGGTGGGGACGATCGCCTCCAAAATTAAAAAGTATCATATATTTTAGATTTTTTAATGTATTTTCTATTGAAATTCTATTTTCGCCCCCTATAACTTTTATAAGTTCAAGTTTGTCTCTTGAAATTTTATTAGTTTAAGTTCACCCCAAACATGAAATCCTGCATCCATCCACTCAATGAACATTAACGAACATGAACAAACAATATTTCTTAACGAATGAACACAAATAAAAAAATTATATCCGTTTAGTTGTTCGCGACTGTTACGTTTGTATTTATTCAATTTATTTACAAGCTTCGATTAACTTATAAAATGAATAGCATCAATCACTGCTCATTGAATATCACAAAAACCAAATAAGAAGTGAACTACAAATTTCATCCCTCAATTTTAAGCTCACTTCTATTTTGGTAATTAAATTTAAAATTTTTATTTGATCATTTCACTTCTGATTTTTTTTATTTTAGTCTCTCAAGCGTTATATCATATACAAAGAGCGATACTGATAATGCCCTATTTTTTTACATGAATATCAAGTGTTATCCACCTCATTTTCTTTTTTTCTCTATGTTATGTTCGTATCATAACTATTATTCTCTAACGTCTTCTCTGAGCACTCAAGTCATCACCAAACTTGTATTATTGTTTTATATCTTTCTATCAGTCTTATTTTTCTCAAAATCTATTTAAAATTCATAAAATTCAACCTTAAACTTAAAATTTATAAAACATCAAACCACTCTAATCTACAGTCTTCATCATCCGGTCACGAATCACGATTAAATCAAAATATATAATTTATCTCCTTCTTTTCCACCTTCCCACTATTGGAAATCGAAAATCGATGCTTCATTGTCGAGAGGTCAAAGAGGATTTGATACAAGTATTTTCCCATAAAAAACAAAGAAAATTTTAGGGTTATTTCATATAATTTTAAAAGATAAGTGCCTATTCATGATACATTTAAGTATTTAACAGAAGAGTGACCAAAATAAAACTAATTTAAAAATTTAGTGATCAAATTTTAAAAATTAAAATTTAGTTATCAAAACAAGGGCGGCTTATAATTAATCCTTAAGCCTTTTAGAACAAGGAGAAACTAAACAAAGGTAATCGCAGAAATTCTAAAATACAACTTGTTAATATAAGGTTAAGAATTTTGAGAAAATCAATTGCAACATAAAATCTTATAATACAAGTGTAACTTTTTAGATTCGACAAAGTAACATTTTAGGTTAAAACTGAAAATATTACATTCTCGATTGAAAATATCACGTTTTTCATAATATTTTTATTATAAGCTCTAAACCCCAAAATGTAACTTTCAAGTAACAACCGAAAATATTACAAAATTATATAAATGTTTAGATATAAAAAGATCATTTTAAGTTGAAATCCGCTTTAAATTAACCTTAAATTAAATTATCATACAGAAAAGCTATGCAAATGATAATTGTGGGTGGCATTTTTAAATCAATAACCTTTTTTTATTATTTAATTATAAAATGACTCCTAACTGATATTATTTAGAAAAATGATCCTAAAATCACTCATGTAGAAATACCTCGCGTTCTGAAAAACTCGTTTAAAGGACGCAAAAAATGTATAGAATTTACTTTTTGCAAAAAAGCCAGGTTTTAAATTTTTTTTTTTCAGAACGCGAGGTATTATTACGTGACTAGTTTAGATTCGTTTTTTCAAATGATACTGGTTGTGGATCAATTTTTTTTACTAAAATAATAAAAAGGGTTATTGATTTTAAAACTCACCAGACTTGATACTACAGTTAGAAGACATTTCATATAGGGACAGGTTTCTCGTTTGGGTTCACTTACAAAAATATGATCTTTATTAATCATTTATTCAACTATTCTCAAACAGTTGGTCTGAGGCATCGACTTAATAGCGATCTTAATTGATTTATCTTTTTTTATAATAGCCAATTGTGATTATAGTAACTTAAATATGCATTATTTGTAATTAAAAAATATTATTTGAAGATTTTCAAGATTGGAATTTGATCTTATTGACGCGTCATGTCTGGGATTTTGAGATTATATCAAATCATATCATCAACCAGCCACTTGCATGCTCAGGTGATGCACCCAACTTGCAAGCTTTCTTTTTGTAGGCTCCTCTAACCCTAAAAGCAACATGCGAAATGCTCCTCTTCTCCCAATTTTGGCCATCCTCATAACTGCCTTTTCTCTCTCTAAAATCGACAAGAGTGAAGGTGATTTCTGTCATTTTGTTGATGAAATTTGTTAATAACTAAAGTAGATAAATAGTCGACTATTAAAATTTATAAAATGATTCTCCGATAATAGAGATTTGTTTTGTTGAGTCTCTTGATTATTAGAAGTTACAAAATTATCATCTGATTATTCATTATGTTCTAAGCTCGTCCATTTCCGTTAAAAATCTGACGATAGTCTGAGCTATACATTGACCTGTTAACAGAGATATGATAAAATCTAATCTCATAATCTCAAACGACTATTATATCTCAGTCAACGTGTTAACTTCCAACTCAGGCGACTACTAATTTTTTAACGGAAAAGGACGAGTTTGAAACATAATGAATAGTCAAGTGATCATTTTGAAATTTTAATAGTAAAGAGACTCAACAAAATAACTCCCTATAATTGATAGATTATTTTATAACTTTTAATAGTCAAATAAATCAATAAAGTAATACCCTATAGTCAAGGGATCGTTTATATACTTTATCCTTTGTTAATTATGTTTAAATTAATAGAATCGGTCCATTAACCACACTTAATTTTTAACCCTTTGCAAGGTCAGCCCTAGATAGTAGGTAGGTAGCTTTTGCCGTTTACGCCTCCATCTCTGATCTCATCTTCTTCCAAATGCAAAACCATAATATCCTCTTCTTCCTGATTGGCCCTCTGCAGATCTATGTAAATTTTATGAACAAGTGAATAACAACTATAGCCATACAGTACAAGTGAATAAAAATGGCAATTTGTTTTTCTTCTTCTTCTTTTCAATAAATACAGATACAATTATGATTAGTGATTGTGTATCATTTTTAAAGCATGCATTATCATTAGGGATAGCATCGAGTCAGGTTAGGGTTGAGTTTTTTGTCAAACCAATTTAATCAAAAAATATGTATCATTCACTCAAATTCGATTCGACTCAAAAATTATATATATTCTCCATCCATCTCAATCTAAATTTTTTGAGTATAAATCTGACCCAACTCGATCCAATATAAAATAAAGACTTAATTAAAAAATAAAAACTTTTTTTAAAAAGAAATTACATTATTATCATCGGGTCAGGTCGGGTCAGAGTTTTTTCACCCTCCACCCGATTTGATCCGACCCGACCCCACCACTTAAAAAATCTGGTCCGACCCGAATCATTTTTTTTTAAAGAAAAACCAACTCTATCAGATCAGATCGAAACTCATCAATTTAGGTTAAATTACTATCCCTAATTATCATTGTGTTTAACACTTATTTAACTTATATATTTTTTATTATAATTGAAACACAATTGATCTAATTTGTATTAAACCACTATAACTTAAAAAATTGATTCATGTCGTACACTTTTATTGCATATAGTTGCCGATGGGCATCTATAAACATTTCATTTTCCATAAAACAAACCATATCTGACATCTATTTTAAGTATTGTTCACAATAAATGAACGTGCATCTAAGAAGTGGCAGCAGCATTAATTGATGGTTGCCGGTATACTGTATGAAGCATCAGCTTGCCGTGCCTCTTGCAGAAAGATTTTAACCTCCCCAATGCTTCTTTCACAAAGTGTGGATCTGCAGCAAAAGTGATTCGAATCCAATTCTTTAACCCCACTGCAGTACCTGCACCATAAATTTTTTGCAAAATCACCCTACTAGCTAGGCGAAATCCGGGTTCGAATTTGCTCGTCGTCGTTCCGATTACGAACAGGATTCATTGATAGACTCACTGATTTCATTTGAAAACCAAAAAGATAGAAGGAACTATGCTGATGGCAACATTATTGTTCGTAAATGTTCAATTTGATTGTTTCTTACCAGGAAGAATGATGACGGATTCTTCTTTGGCCAGCCTGAAACAGAAGTCGATGTCGTCGCCGATATCTTGCAGACCGGAAACATTTAGTTTAATCTGTGGAGTTCATGAACAAAATTGGCTTGAACATGTTCGTGAATCCTTGGAGTTCCAAACAGAGATTGCAAATTATGATAGTCCATTACCATCACAGACATTGACCCCTGAGGCTTATGGGGACAAGTAATACAAGGGATGTCCTTTATCAGATCCCAACAAATATCCGATGTCTGCTTCAGTGTGTTTATGGTTTTCTGGAAGAAACCCTCGTCGGTTTGCTCGATGATACGGGGAACTGCCGCCTACGACACCCACCGGAAAGCCACGAGACAAATATAGTGAATACCTATGGTGATGGCATACAGACTAGTGCCTATGCTTTGAATAACAATAGGATGCTCACATTTGGTTAGTCCATAATCAATAACATATATACATACCTGAATAAAAGTTGCAGGTCCTCCTAAAATATCGAAATACTTCTCGATACGCTCGATAATCTGATACGAAATAAGAACTTCAAAGAGATCGAATAAAGATCATAACAAATAGATAATGCTTGGGAACTTCATGTGCATCATTATTGTTCAAACTTGAAATAGACAGGTATTACAAGCACTAGATGTAGTATCACGTTCATTATTGTATAACATTGAGAATACTGATGTGCAAGACAAAGAGAATGACCTTAGGATTCTTAAACATGCCAGAGGGTTCATTTATGACGAACCAACCGAGTCGCCATCCGGGCACGATCCATCTCTTCGATAGAGATCCTAGAGTTAGGACCGGAACAATTGATCCGAAGACTCCCATTGGTACAAATGGGTTATCCCCAAAAACAAGGTGCCCGTAGACTTCATCAGCAATAAGCGGAATCTTAAGCTTCTCTGCAGTTTCTGCTATCTGATTACATAATTTATATTAAACAAACAATTAGATTACTCCAAGTTTCCCAGTAAACAACTGCATTTCACGGTCTGTGCACGGTCTCAGATCGTTATGCGGATGTGGTCGTATAAAAAGTTCCATTCTCCTGATGCATACCAACCTTTTTCAAGTGTTGATAGGAGTAAACGTTGCCACAAGGATTACCGGGGTTTATGATTACGAGACCGACCGTATTCTGATCTGCTAGTGCTTCAACCAAATCAAGATCAACTTCCCAGCCTTTCTCGGGGAGAAGATCGAAATACCGAACTTCAATACGTCTGAAGGTAGCACAGAGTTCATAGATTGGGAAGCCCGGCCTCGGAATCAAGATGTTTGCACCCGGTCGAGCAAGCATCGCCAACGCAACGTCAATAGCTTGAGTGCAACCGGATGTGATGAAAACATCATCAGATGATAGTTTGTAGGGAAGATCACATGAGAGATATTCTGCAATTGCCCTGTTAAAACATGAAAAATGAGTATAAAAATCTATGTTGATCCTACAAATAGATAAGAAAATTGAAAGAAATCAATATATTTGTATCATACACTTGCACCGAGTTAGAGTAATACATTCAATAAGTTTTCCTTTTTGCTTTTTAATGCATCGTTCTTCATAAAAACCAGGAAAATACAAGAAAATTGACCAAAGCGATAGCTCTAGATTGCACTAAATCCAAGACAAGTACGAAATTAAAGCTGAAGCAAGAATTTATCAAGCTTATATCTAGACAAGTTCTTTAATGTAAAAATTTAAAACAAAGAAATTACACGTGAAGGATTGAGAAACCCCAGATTTTATATGATTATTTTGAGTAAGCAATGAAAATTTATCTTTGTCAACTTAAATATCAAGCACAATCTGATGGAACAGAAACTGGTACTAAAATTTGACTAAACCACACAAACACACAAAAAGAAACTGTCAAATTCATGCACCAAGCATAGCAAAAAAGCATGGAATTAGGATCTGGAAATCATTAACCTTCTGGTTTGGGGAAGGCCAGCAGTGGGTGAATAGCCATTGAACTTATGAGATTGCAGAGCTTCAACAACAGCTTCTCCAGCAACATGAGTTGTGTGGAAGCAAGAATAAACAGTTGGGTCACCCATTCCCAGAGAAATCAACCCCTTGCTATTGTTTCCATCAACGTATTGCATTAACAGACTCAGTATGCCTTTGATTGTAATTGTTGAAGCTGTTCCCATTTCATGGTTCACTGTTCCGTTCTCCATGCTTTTCAATTCTAAAAAAACACCCTTTCTTCTTCTTTTTCAACGATTTGGCTTTGTTTATTCTTTGATGAACTGAGAGTTTGCGAAGAGAGCCAAAGACGCCTAAAAGAAGAGAGAGGGAGAGACGCGAGTTTTGAAGAAGAAGATTGGTAAGAGAAGCCGTTCAGTTCCCTCACCACACGTTAAAACTATATATTTTGGTTCCTTGCATGGAGAAAAATTAAAAGATATACCATTCTGAAACTTCTATGGTACAAGTGAAAATCATCCCCACAATTTCATATATTTAGAAACACAGTCCATCACTTTTTCTTCTTTTTCTTTTTCACCCCACCAACAAACAAACAAAGTCAAATCTCAAATCAAAATGCTAAGCCGTCCCGTGACAGTATTATATATTCCCACGTTATAAAGATAAAAATGACATTTTTAATTGAAATTTAAAAATGGAAAAATTATTATTATTTAAAGAAGCACGTTCTCCTTAAGAAAGAAACCTTTGAATAATATATATATATATACCAATTGAAAGGAGAACTTATTTTCTAAAAAATTAAAACCATAAAGGCAGTATTACTTTATTATATATCAATAAATATAAAGACTAAATTATCTATTTGGTACTCTATATATTTTAGTATTTTTGTTTTAGTCATTTACTTTTTTCTAAATCATATTTAATATTCCAGTTTATTTTTTATTTTGATAGCATGATATGATAATAATTTTAATTCTCAAAATTTGTACATTCTTTCATATTGGCTGATGTGTTCATACTAAAATACGATTCTTTTACATTAATTGTTCATCTAACCGATGATATCTACCTTCAAACTTTATTAGTGTCCACCTTCATTCGGAATTCTTTTATTATTAATTTATAATTTTTTAAAAAATAAAAATCCGTCACAGCTGTGCCGAGTGATATTCATTGCAGCAGCCTGATGCTTTTATTTTCATCCGTACTGGCTGTGAACTTCAAAGTGGCCATGAAAAATGTACAATTAATAATCCTTTTTGATTTTTTGGATTTTGATTTTGGTTCCAAATGAAGACAGTGACCAAAGAAATAGCAGTGGTGGAATAAAAAACTATGAATAAAATTTTATAGAATTATAGTTGAAAATATTGTAAAAGGTACTAAATAAAATTTAATTATTTTTACTAACACGATCAAAGTAAGGGAGATAACGTCTAATGGTCAAAATGTCACTAATCGATAGTATAAATGATCAAAATTTCATAATTGAAAAATTGAGTGATCAAAAATTAAAAGAAAATGAAAAAAGTGACCAACACTGTAGTTTAATTAAAGGAAATAAATTACAATTTTTATTTTTATATATTTCTATTTACCAATCAATTCAGTTGAACTATCTAAATTTGACAAAGACTATGCAACAAAAGCTTTGTGATTTTTCTATTTAAAAATCATTTTTCCGAAACCCTAAATTGATTAGACTGGTTACCCATTTTGAGGGAAAAATCAAAATCCATCTACAGTAAACCGATTTTCAAATCTAAAAGAGTATATTTGTAAAGGCTTAATACTAAAATAAATTTTCAAATTAAACATTTTTTTTAAATAGGTGTCTAAACTAATTTATGATTCATCCCAATACCTAATGTTACAAACGTTATCTATTTAAGTGGTCGGGCCTTCAACGGTGTTAATTATTTCATAGTTTTAAAAAATTTATTTAAAATTAAAAATTAATTATATATATATATATATTAAAAAGAAAACACAAATTTGAAATAAACTAAAACTTTGAAAACCTTCATTTCAACCACTAAACCCACGCCAACCGCCGCTTTTTACAGTTGACGAAGCTTCACCCGACCTCCCATTCCCCCAGCAACCAAAACCCCCATGAAACAGTGACGATAGACGACAAATCAACATTTTATACCCCGCGAATCCTAGGATGAAAATCGTGATCTCACACGATTCCAGAGACCAATCGAAGAAAATTACGACGACGTATGAGTAGGGGATTGCAAGGACTATGTCGGTGATGGTGGTCGTGGCCGGAAAGGGCGATGACAACATATTAAGTTTATGATTTGGTATTTTGGGGTTGTTTTATATTATAAGAAAAATTAGTTTTTTTTTATATAAATATCATGATTTTTTAAAATATTTTTTAAAAAATAAATTACAAAATCATCAGATTGTGACACGTTTCACTTAACGGAAGAAATTAATGTCATTGACGGCACGGGAACCTAAATGGGTAATGTTTGTAACGTTAGGCACCTGAATGAGTCAAAAAATAATTTAGGTACCTATTTAGGAAAAGCGGTATAGTAGGGTCACTTATTTTGGTATTAAGCCATTTGTAAATAATTGGACTTATGATAGATTTGTAATTTTTTTCTATTTTATCACTAACATCGAAAAATTATGCTTGAGGTACTGAAAATATTAAGTTCTCTATATATCATACTACTATCATGTATGAATTTTATCATGGGTAGATTTTTAGTTTAAATTTATTATGGTTTAAATTTTATCATGTATCATTAATTATTTAAATTTATTTTGATTTAATTTTTTAATTTAGATTTATTTTAATCATAAGCCTTAGTTAACTATTATTGTTTATTGTGCAAGAATTATTATCTTAATAATTATTTAAATGTATATTGTTTATATTTATAATTGCAACTGTAACGATAAATATACTTAAAAAATGAAAATTATATCGAATTCGATATGTTACACTTAGGGATGGGAATGAGACCCGACCCCGACGGGTTTTGACCCGACCCGATCCTATCGGGAAGGGGTTTTTTTTTTAAATTTAGGTTCGGGTTGGGTCGAGTTTTTTTAATGTGATGTTCGGGTCGAGTCGGGCTCGGGTTTAGGGTGAAAAATACCTGACCCGAAAAAATAATAATTTTATCTTATATATTTAAGAATAATTACAAATACCTCTTGGAAAAACCATGCAGACACACTACAGGCCAACACCCAACCATGCAGCCACACGAATAAACTATTGAACTTGCAATTGATTTCGATTTACCTCTACAGCCAAAGTTGCTGCTTAGGTGCTTCTTCTATCCAAACGATACCGCTAAACTTCACGAGCAATTGTATGGTCAGCCTTATTGGCCGCACGACGGGAGAAACAGAAAAATACAGATTCAATCGCCTTATCATCGGCCACAAAAGTTACGACTCGACTGTACATCAGGGTCTATAAATATACATGCCCTCTAAGAAAATACTTAAGACATACTCTGCTTTGAGCTCGGTCTGGATCTTGATTGCTCAAAAGGCTTCTCCAATACTCCATCTACTAATCTGCGTAAGTAAACAAATTTCAAATGTTGAACTCACTAGCCCAGTGCCACATTAACAACTAAATCATACTAAAAATATTCAATAAATGCTCAAGCTATCAAGTCTAAATGCATCAGTGAGTATACTTGTATACCCATTCTTTATTCTACGGTAGACATCATGGTGCGGCTGGGGATTCTGCATCTCGAAACTCACGTACCCCTCTAATCTACTGAGGATGAGGCCCGAAACTCTACATCGGACACAACACCCTCGACTAACCCACCCCTCGCGAGTGTCGAGTCTCGGCCCTAGTTAGTTAGTTTAAAGTGCCTCGCGCACTACCTAAATATATCCAGACTGATTCTACTCATCGATACCAGTATCACTTACTAAAGTAACCAGGGTGTCCTGAACGTTTTCCGATTATTCAAATAAGACTAGTTTTATGTCACCTTAAATTATCTCGTTTCTAATTGTAATTGACATTATTATGGTTCTCAGTTGTAGTATTACTTGGAGAGAAATTAGAGCTTTTTGGAAACCTCATTTTCCTCTTAAGATCTATTGGTATTGGATGTTAAAACCCAAACCAATACTTTGGTATCGATACTGGCCTTACAGTATCGATACTGCCTCTTAAGTATTGATACCCTAGTGTTAATTCCCCTTGAATGAAAAGGGGAAGTATCAATACTCCTATGGGGAGTATCGATACTCAGACCTTAGTATGGATACCCCCTGAGGTACCGATACAAAAATACACACTAAAAAAAATAGTTTCGATACCAAGCCCCCTGGTCTCGAAATCAGGACACCAGTATCGATACTCCTTCAAGGGGTATTGATACTGTAACACTAATTTCTTTAATTTTAAGTCTACCATAAGAACAATATCGATAGTACTGATACTCACCCTCGAAAATGCTCTATTTGGGAACGAATAGGTTACTCAAACTTTCCCAAATCGTTATTTTGAGGTTCCCAATTAGTATTTAAGTCTTATATGATAAAAAAAAGGGTCATAAATAAGGGTTTGAAACATGCTAAACCACCATTGCATAGAAACTACAATGGAAATTTTACTAACATGCTTCAATCTCAACTCTTAAGCTAGAATGCATTTCTAGTGACCCACAATTGGTATGAAGGAGTTGTAATGTGTTATCTTGAGTCCTAGTTACTGAAATCTCTCTCGAAATCAATTAATAGTAAATGTATCATTTCATCTAACTTTTGAGCTTTCCCCCACTTCTCTAAATTAAAGCTAGAAAATGAGTTAATAATCTATCTAGGGGCTTAAAAAAAAGTTAAAAACACTCTAAATAACTTAATTTCACTAAAAAAAACTAGCTTGGATCACTTTATTCCCTAAAACCTCCAAAAAACCAATTTTAAGAAACTACAACCAAAACTTGAGATATGAGGTTTAAACAGAAACTTAAAGGATAGGGATTAATATTCTTACCTTGGGTGACTCAAAATAAAATTGAAATTCTTAAAGTATTCACCTTTAACTTAAGCTTGAAGGAGGAAGAAAAAGAAGAAGAATAAGAAGAGAAAAAAAAAAAGAAAATATGGAAGAGTGTTTGGTAAAAAATTTTTTGGAAAGGGCTCATGTGAAAATCACCTAAAATAAGGGGTTTTCATCCTTTGATTTAAGAAATTGGTTAATTGTGCTTTTGGTTCCTCCTTTAGCTCCTACCAAACATCACAAACCTTACTCCTGGGCTCAACTTATGGGTCTCGGTTTGACTCAAACTACTAACTCGAGATTTGGGGCGTTACAAATTCATCATTTCCTATTATTCATACCTTCTTAATAGGTCAGTCCCTTAGGCTTAGTGGTGCAACCAAGCTTGTGAGTCGAGTCCACGATGTAAATGAAGCTAGTGGAGTTTGAGATTTTCAAATTATTAAAATTAAATTTGATTCGATTTTTAAATTTACGAGTTTAAAATTGTCAAATTTAATTCGAACTTGAAATAAAAATAAAAGCTTGACTCAAAAGCTCGTGAGCTTAAAAATTTTAAATTCCAATCGAAATAAAAATTTGAAACTCGACTCAAACCCAAATTCGAACATTAAGCACATGAAAATCTTATATTATATATATTTTTTTAAATAACATGTAGATGTTAATATTATCAATAATTTAATTTTAAAAATATAAAATTTTAATATATTATTATTTTTAGTTGCTCGCTAGTTTTTCGAGTCGAGTATCATGTAGCTTCAACTTGTTAAAAATTTGAGTCCAATTTATTTTAGTGTTGACCAAATTTTAAATCAAATTAATCTCAAATAATTCATAATTTATCTCGTTTCATTTACCGTCTTAAACCAATTCTTTATTCTGATCTGGGTTTTGGGTGAATGTTACTACGTTAGAAACGGTTTCTAGGATTGGATTACTAATTACTTATGCCTTTTGATTTAATTAATATTGTTTTTCATATTGAACCTATCGGTAAAAGAGAAATGAGAGAAAGAAAAAACAAAAATCACATTTTTTTACTTGATTTTATTGGAATAAAAAAAAACGACAAACAGACTCTTACTGGTGGTAAAATTAAAAATAAGGGGAATTAACCCTAGCTTATCACTACTTTGGGGCCTTGATGTAAGCCACATGGGTTGCATTTGCAACTCTTTTAAGGGTTTTAAGATCATAAGCCACCCAACACCTTGAAATTTCCTGGTTGTAAAAGTAGCCCAAACACTTGCAATCCTTGCTACATCTCTTCCCACATTCATCTTCTTTTATGGCATTTCCTCTAGTGTAAGTAGTCATGAAATGATCAACCCCTAGAAGCTTGTAATAGTAAAAATCCTTCTCGTTGCAGCTCGTTAACTTCTTGACATCGCAATCTTTACTCCAACCCAACAGCCCGTTGGGCGACGGGCATGCCACGCATTGGCTGTCCTCACAAAGCCCGAATTTCCCACATCGTTCCGGCATTTGGCATTCATCGTCCCAAGATGGATCTCTTTTGAAAAGAGTGAAGGTTTCCTGCCATGCACCCTCGAACACAGGGTCATAGTAGGTGAATATCCTAATATTTCCATCCATTCCGAGTCGAAGAAACGATAACGTGCTGTTGTAGTTGGGTCTTCCGATCCTTAGAGTCCCTCCATAGTTAGAAGTAGCATGATACCCCAGATTTAGCCCATAGGCAGTAGCCTCGTCGTTTTCAGGGGTGGAATCGAACTTAACATATTCTAAAGGACCCTTTCTAACATTCACCCAAAATTCAGGATTGAAATAAAGAATTGGCTTAGGGGTGTTCGGGCCCTTATAGTACAAAACCAACGATTTAGATTCCATGACCAGGCTATAAGCACCATCCGAGTTATTGAGATCAGAGGCTCGACTCACAAGCTTGGTTGGACCACCAAGCCGAAGGGACTGTCCTGCTAAGAGGGTATCGGTAGGATAATCAAAACTCTGCCAAATGAAATTACCTTTGGCATCATGAAGCACCATGTTCCCATTAGGCAGAATTTTGAACCCCGTCACACCTTTGTTAGAGGTGTTGGTTTGCCAAGCGATCCGGCCATCGACGTCGGCCAGGACAAGGTTTCCGTTGCGTCCGAACGTCAACGTGGCGTTTTCCTTAACCGGGTTCCCGCGGTTCGCTTCCCAAACCCACCGGAACAAGGATTCGGATTTGGTGAGCCCCATACGCAATGCAAGGGTAAATGCATCCGGGGTGGTGTTGTAGAAGCAAAGCTGGAATGGGGATGCAAAGGGAGGTAAAACTCGATAGTTGCCATCGTACTCTATGATATAAGGTCCCAGTTCTCCTTCGTTGACGTATTGAAACGTCTCTGAAGCTGGCACCGTGGCTTTAGCAAAGGAAAAGACTGCAAACAACAAGATATATATCATTGTGGAGGGAAATTGAAAAGCTTTGTGTTGGTGAGGGATGTGAATGGATGCAAAGCGCTTTATAAAGACCCGCTGTAATTCAAAAAATGAAAAAGAGGGTTAATATTATATTCCCAATAGCTATAATTTCCCACGTGCCGGACTGCACATTGTTTTTTCCTTACATTTTTCTCGAAACCTGCACATGCAACTTTTACATTACCATAATCACGTATCCGCTTTCATTAGGGTATATGCAACTTGTCAATACCTTTATTTAATCACTATTTTTGTCGGTGCACCATTATCCATCTAGATATAAAATATAACTTGGTAGGGATATTATCTGTCCATATTGTTCACCAGACATCGAATTTGACCAATAAAAAAAGTACAGACAGAATTTGTTCGAGCGCAATATGATATATCTAAACATAATAATACAATAAATTTGGACATATTTAAAAACTTATTTTAAAGTGAAATGAGTAAAGTTAAGATGCTTATTGTTTAATTAGCAGGCAGTAAGTGCTTCAAAAGCATGTACTAATACTTTACAACAAAGGGTTTTGATAATGGGTTGCATGGCTGGAAAGGCATTAGCTTTTGTAACGAGGAAAATAAGAAGCCGTTTGCTAATTTTGTAATATTTTATGCATAAATTGCATCTCATGTACTGCATAAACTGTTACTGGTATGATGATATTATGATCTAATTCTGCTGTACAAGTTGATACTATGGGCACTAGAAAGGACGAACCTAAGCGGTACTTGGAACTTCTATCTGAATTCAGGCGTGGCTGCTGATTTTGACCGCCAGCGCATAACAAATGACAAGTTTGGACTTCACCAATTATTTGTTTGCTGCTTCACTCTATGGATTGGCCCCTCGTTTACATGAATCCACAAGAGATCTCAAGTTTTTCTTAGCACATAAACTAGACAAGGCTATGGTCAGAAGTGACGGACTCTCATCTAAATCTAACCCTCATTCAGCAGGGCAGGGCAGTTTCCAAGAATTGGTTTAAGATAACTTTTAAAAATAATTTACTATTTAATATGCAACTAATTAATTAAATGAATATTTTAAGGACTAGTTTCAATGTTTCATGATAAGCCACGAAAGGTTGACGAAGAGAAACGCATAAAGGCATTAGGTTCACGAAAAAATCATTATCAGTGGAATAATATTTTTTCGAAATTATATTCTTACGTTTGGTTCAAGAGTATTCTCTCTTAGAGATATAATCAAATATTCTTTTTTAGAGGTATAATAAAATATTCTCAACGGTATCAATTTTTGGGTCTTTTTTCGGCATGCCCGTTTTTGAGATTTTATTGGCCTAGAGCAAACATAGAAATTAGATCCCTAATTGTTAGATGAACGATATGAATGATCATTGAAGAGTAATACTGCTCTATGTTATTCATAGTACTTACACCATTATATACAAGTGATCCATAACTACTTACAACAACCTAACAACTTCAACAACTAACTGCAACTAACTAACTGACTACACCTAACTTCATACCAGCTTATACATTTGCACACTAACTACATTCCACATTCTCCCCACTTTTGCCTTCTCCTCCAAGAAACGACTGAACATAAACCTTTGCTCGAAACATCTGAAACTGTGCTGCAGACAAAGGCTTGGTCAAGCCATCTGCAACTTGATGGCTAGCAGGCACATAATTAATCAAAACCTGTCTAGCAACCACTTTTTTTCTAATGAAATGAACATCAAGTTCAACGTGTTTTGTTTTAGCATGATACACCAGGTTTGCAGTAATGGCTACTGCACTATTATTATCACACCACACTATAGGTATTTTAGGTTGCAACATTCCCATGTCTGATAGTAGAGCACTTATCCACGTTGTCTCGGCAGTAACATCAGCCACGCTCCTATACTCAGCCTCCATAGTGGATCTGGAAACAGACTTTTGCTTCTTAGAGCTCCACATAACCAGATTCTCACCAATAAACACACAGTTGCCTGAGACAGACCTTCGATCATATGCATTCCCACCTCAATTAGCATCCGCAAAGGCCACAATACTCAGTCCAGCACTGGACGGTGTTATAGCCAGGCCATGGTTAAGTGTGCCAACCAAATACCTTAGGATGCGTTTAACTGCCACCAAATGATCACGCATAGGTGCCTGCATGTACTGTGCCACCTTGTTCACACTAAAGGAGATATCAGGACGAGTGTGACAGATATAAAGAAGTGCTCCTACAATGCTATGATACTCAAATGCATCAGGCAACAGATCACCATCATCATCTCGCGTAAGCTTCGATATAACCAGCATAGGTGTAGCCGCAGTACCAGCATTACTCATCTTGGTCTTCATGAGAAGCTCCATAATAAACTTTCGCTGACTGAGATTCAATGAATCATTGACTCGATGAATCTCGATACCGAGAAAGAAACTGAGCTCTCCAAGGTCCTTTAACGTAAACTCAGCCCCCAACAATTACACAATTTCTTCAATTTGAGCATCTAACTCACTTGTAACTATTATGTCATCGACATATACCAGCATGTATGCATAGCTGTCATGAACATGCCTTACAAACAATGAAGTATCTGCTTTAGATTCTTTGAACCCAATGCGAAGCAAACACTGCTTCAACCTGTCATGCCAACTTCGAGGTGCTTGTCTCAAGCCATACAAGGCTTTTTGAAGTTTACAAACCAACAACACACCATCAGATGCCCTCTACTCAAATCCAGGTGGCTGCTGCATGTACACGTCTTCACTCAACTCTTCATGCAAAAAGGCATTGTTTATATCAATCTGCCGTAATTGCGAACCCTTTGTCACAACTAAGGCTAAAACCACATTCAGCGTGGTAAACTTAACCACTGGACTGAACGTCTCATGAAAGTCATGGCCTAGAATTTGGGAATACCCCTTGGCTACAAGACGAGCCTTATACCGATTGACAGACCCATCTGGATTTTTTTTCAACTTAAATAGCCATTTACAGCCTACTACTGACCGACCTTCAGGCAAAGTCACAAGAGACCAAGTTCCATTCTTCTGCAGAGCTTCAATCTCGGCATGTACTGCATTTTTCCAATGAGGGGACTGAAGGGCTTCATGCACATTGACATGTTCCATAGACGCACAGGAGGCCACATATACCTTAGGCTTAAAAATCCCATACTTGCTCCTAGTACGCATAGGATGATAATTCAAGTTGGACTGCACACCACCTTGTTCATCAGACTCGACATTATCTTGAGCACTGATTTCTACATCACTTTGCTCATGAGAACTGCTTGCATTTACTGCTTCTTCATAACTCTGGACAGTAGAACCACAACTGCTAGTAGTATTATGTTCAACATCAAAAGATGCACTCGATGACCCTACTGCACTCAAGGGCTCATGTCCTGCTGTTTCATTTACATTGTCAGGTGTCAACTCTTCACACAACTCAACAGGTGCAGCAAGACTATGCACACCATTATCTCGTTCAAGTAAATTCCTCACATCAGCAACAATCTCAATATCACCAGATATCGAAGCAGCAGAATGAGATGTTGTGCGATTGGCTGCATTACCTGCAAATGGAAAGATTAACTCGTCAAACACAATATGCCGAGAGATATAGACTCTCTCATTGTTTGCTAAACAGATGTAACCCTTGTGTTATGGACTATATCCCAGGAACGTGCAAGGCTAAGACCGAAACTCCATTTTATGTCTTTGAAACACACGTAAATGTGGGAAACATTTACAACCAAATGCCCTCATGAATCCATAATCAGGTTTCCTCCCCCATAATTTTTCCATAGGAGACACCCCACTCAATACCTTAGTTGGTAGTCTGTTGATGATATAAACTGCAGTAATAGCAGTATAGTACCAGTAATGTTGAGGCATTGCAGCCTGAGCCAAAAGTACCAAGGCAAGCTCGATAATGTGTCTGTGCTTCCTTTCAACCACTCCGTTTTGATCAGACGTATGAGGACAAGCCACTCGATGAACTATGCCACTCTTAGCTAGAATCGGTGAGAGAATTCGATACTCACCACCCCAGTCACTTTGCACAGACTTGATTACCACACCAAACTGAGTCAACAACATCTGTTGGAACAACTTGAAAACACTCACAGCTTGCGACCGATCCTTTAGAAAATACACCCACGTGTGTCTAGAGTAGGCATCTACAAATGACAAGTAATATCTATATCCATTAGACACTACATTTGATGGTCCCCAAATGTCAGTAAATACAAGTTGGAAAGGTGAAGTATATACTGTAGAGGAATTAGAAAAGGGCAACCTATGACTCTTGCCAACACAACAAGCTTCACAAACTTTATTCATTGCTTTGGAAAGTTTGACATCAATCGTTTTACACACATCAGTTATAGTACTATAAGTAGCATGACCCAATCTTCGATGCCAAAGTGTGAAATCATCAACTGCCACAGCTGAACTAATTGAAGCATTCTCACAAACACCTAGCAACCGTTCTCCTGAAAAGACATACAACCCTCCTTTAACATGACCATGCAACAACACTTCTTTTGTAGCAACATCACGAACACAACACCCATGATCATAAAACTCAAAGTATACACCATTGTCCCTAGCAAACTTGGACACCGAAAGAAGGTTTTGAGTTATTCTAGGGACATGCAGTAGGTCATTTAACAACAAAGATTTAGAAGATGTTGCTAAGGTACCATTATCAACCATGTTTATAGGAAAAGACACACCATTACCAACAGTGAGCTTACCTGAACCACCATGTTCTGACCGGTGTGTAAAGTTACCAGAATTGGGTATCACGTGGTGAGTGGCTCCAGAGTCCGCCACTCACTGATCTTGAGTAGAACTAATCATTGAGTAACCTTGCGAAGAACCTTCCGTGGTTAGCTGACTTCGAACCCCATTCACACAACAATCACAACCAGTGCAATTGGCTTTTTTATAAGTCACGTTATTTGCATTAGTTGTATCTCCTGCATACTGAGAACGACTAATATTGGTGGACACAATCTGGAAATCCT